AATTAATGGATACATTTTAGCAATAACATAAGTGACTATTGTATTCACTGCTATGTTGTTATACACAATGAGCAATGTAAAAAGTTCAAATAAATGTGCCCCTGGCATTTTATTAGACCGGATGCATATCCAAAAGTGTCATGTATTTGCAATATGAAAATGTTATCAAATTCCATTGAAATCTGACCTTCATGCCAGTAAAGCAGCTAGTGTTTCAAATGAACAACACGCTTTCATTTGCAATCCAAAACAGGCAAATGCTATGTTTACTTTCCTGCTAGCGTGCGTGACTAAGTACATATCACGATTTTGCTACACCAACATCTGATGTTTATATATGTTTAACATATACATTTGACCCTGTATTTTTTTTGTGTGTTTAACAAAAACTAAGTATCAAGTAATATGTTCTCTTCTGCTGATCTATCAGTAATGTCTTATGGTTAGTATAAGCTGGTCCTGGAAAAAATCTTGTTGACAAATTATATTCTCTGGGTATTAACTTCACCACAATTATATAAACTGAAATCATTGGGGGTTTGCTTTCTGCTCAGTGCTTATGGGTGGGCCATCACTGCAGCACAGAGATGACTTGATCGTTATCACCAGTAGTCTAGGTAGAGTGCTCAGAAGAGGGGGTTAATGCTCAGCGGGTTAAGGCGTTACTTGGAGACGTGGAACACTTTGTCGTCCTCTGAGACAACAAAGTGTGCACGGGCTCGGTCCGACAGGGGAAGACAACAGCTACTGTTACTTGGCTTGTAAGAGAAATGTTCCCTAGAGAGAGCTACTCTCTCTGTTTGTGCCAGATCTGTTTAGTGCTGTCTTTTCAAATGCACATTAAGTTCAGTTTAAATTCAGTTTAATTAAAATGTGAGCTGGACAAATGTGTGCATGTGTCACATTCATTCTGAAACACTGATGTATACTTTTACATAAAAACAGACTCTTTTGTATGAATGAGCTGATGGAGTTAGAAATGTTATAAGAGTAGTTGTGTCTATTAAAAAAATCTGTAAATATGCTCTTTAAAAATGTGAATTTCCACTAGTGTGTGTATTTGATTCCATCTCACTTTTGTAAACCCTAAAACCTGTGGTGGCGGGACAGGCCTGCTGTTCTGTGTGTACACTTTCTGCTCTCTGAGCACACATTAATTTCACAATTTCACCAAAGTAACCATGCAGTATTGTATAGAGATGTGATTTAAAACCCACCAAAAGCTTTCCTTCAAGTTCATAGGTGTACAAAAGGGCGATATTGGTATTAATTGTTATCTTAAGGTTATGGATTTGATATCTTCATTTAGATTTCTTTTTATGTAATAAAACGCATTGGCAAAGAGGACTGTCTGTCAGGTAGTGTTCAGGGTGTGGGATTCCACTGGGACTCATCTACCCAAGTTAATGCTGCTGAGATTTAGTTGCCCCTGGATACACCCCTGCCTGTCTCTGCATATATGTGTTGTGAAGCTTCTTTAGTAGTGCTTCAGAGCACCCAGGGGAGAAAGCTTATTGTCTGCATTCAGCCTTTTGATGAGGCAAACAGTCCAAAGCTGGATGTGCTTTCTGTTTCAAAACTAATTCTAATTTAATTGGGATAAATTGGACATGGTAAACAGTGCTGATAAGTGCAAGGATTGACAAATAATAGACATTTTAGTGTATTATGAAGACATGAATTTGCCTTTAAAGCCCATTAGAAACACTTGTTAAAGTGGTTACAAATAACTTCTGTGGTGTTTTAATGTAGTCTAAATTGTAATTAAGGACAGAGTGATCTGTCCTGCTTCTGATTTGATTAAAAACAAAAAGTCACATTCATTAACAGACAAAGAGGGACACATGAACTCCATCCGTTAGCAGAGCAGGGAATGTAAGTAGCACTATCCCACAGTATTAACAAGAGATCATAGGAGAAATCAGATTAGAAAAAGAGGCAAAATAACAACACAAATATTGCCTAATATGATCTCATGCATTTCATAAAACGGGTGACATTACATGAGGCTAAGCTCATAATGACCTTGCTTTTTATAGGCAGGTTGGGGTACAGTAATCTGATTTAGCATAATCTCTTACAATCTCTGATAAATGCTTACAGCATGTATCTCTCAGAGAGGGCAAATCCTATTGGTCCACTGTGAGGCATTACTGACATCTGCTGTTCACATACAAAGGGCCTGCACTTCACACTGTACAACATCCTGTGTAGTTTATCAAAAGAGAGCTTGACTTGACTGTAACAGAGCAACTGACCGATGTGAGTGTTGATTATTCATACTGCACTGAGCCCGTTTACCTGCGTCTCAACTAGCACTGATTTTGAAATCCCGTGGATGCATACAGTAAGTGTTCGTGTATATTTCACAAATGAAGTCTGTGAAGTCTAAAGTGGAGAAAATGTTTGCAGGGTTTGTGCGATCTACTAGCCTAGCCGCAGGACAAACCAGGCACCTGCTATGGATTAGGTCTGAAATATACACAGCATTTAATAATTAAAGAATCGGTGAGCAAATCATAGCTAGTGCACTAATATCAACACTGATATTATTACTTGTGTGCTCAGGCACGGCATTCACCCGCACAAAGACACATATTACTATTAAGATGGATAATTACTTGGACAATTTCCAAAAAATAATGAATGAACGGTTAAAATATTTGGCTACAAGTATTTGATACACTGTTGGTGGATAAATGTTTAAAACACATTGCCAAAGAGCCGACTTAAACATTGACAATTTAACTGCATGAAGATGTTATTGTATTAGAAGAGCTGGTGGGAGTTGGTGCTCTGCAGTAAATCAAACCTGTAATCTGATCGTCTTTGACTGACCAGCCATCCTGATAAAGGAGATGCAAAATGAGTTTACTTGCTCTTCCTCTTCCAGAAAATAGAACCGCCTGTCATTAAGTTTAAAGTTGGTCGAAGATTCAGGTTTTCTTCGGTCTACATTCTTTTTTATCATGACATGTTTTAATTTTGTGCCTCAAAATTGACAAAACCCACCATCTAATATATTTATATTTGATATTCTGTTGCATATATAAATATCTGCACCCTTTGCAGCTATTACAGCTTCAATTTTTTTGGGAAGGCTTTCCACAAGGTTTAATTGATCCTAAAGGTGATCTGTGGGGTTGGGTGAAGGCCAGTCAAGTACTTCCCCATCAAACTCGCTCATCCATGTCTTCATGGACCATGCTTTTGTGCACTGGTGCACAGCCATGTTGGAACAGGAAAGGCCATCCCCAAACTGTTACCGCAAAGTTGTGCGGTAACAGTAGCAACAAATGTCTTGGTGTGGTGATATAAGGCAGGAGCTGATCAGTCATGAAATCACATTCTGTGTGCACTGCTTTTGAGCTACTCTGAAGGCCACATTAAGTTTGGAGGTCTGTACTGACTGACTGCAGAAAGCTGACGATCTTTGCACACTATGAGCCTCAGTATCCACTGACCCCACTACCAATTCATGGCTGAGATGGTGTTCTCAATCACTTCCACGTTGTTATGATACCACTAAAAGTTGATTGTGGAATATTTAATATCGAGGAAATTTCATGACTGGATAGGATGCAGCACCCTATCAGTGTCATCATGCTGGAGTTCACTGAGCTCCTGAGAGTGACTGATTCTTTCACCAATGTTTGTAGAAGCAGTCTGCATGTCTGGGTGCTTGATTTTATACACCTGTGACCATAGAGCACCTGAACTCAATGATTTGGTTGATTGAGAGAACACTTTTCATCATATCGTGTATTTTTGGATTGATGCCTCTATATACACTTGGCAAATAATAGCAATGCTACATTCACTTTTATTGTTACAACCACTGTTAATCAGTTAACTCTTCAAGTACTGTTCACATGCCCAGTTCTTAGTATCATTTTCATCCTATTTTATCATTCATATGTATTAATGTGTGCCCATTTAGATCCACTTTCCCTAATATGCTCCTTGTGTGACCTCGGTGTGAACTTGGCCTCCTTTCACTTCATGGGTGTAATACCAGCAGTGTTACTGAACATCTGCTGGCTTACATCTGCTGACACACCCTTTACCTTGTCGGTTTTAACACAGCTGCTTACTTGGTGTTACATACACCCCCTAGTGGTGAAAACAGGTGTACACTCAGGTGTAAAGCAATCGTTTAGATACAGTATATCTCTGCAACATTTTATGCTCTATTGCACTTTGTTTTTGATAGGTTTGCTTCCATGTTATATTTAGGAGAATTTCAGTTGTAGCTGTCCAGGACAAAGATACACGGGGCTGTAACATTTAATGTTGTTGCTGTGGTACTCTACACAGGAAAATATACACATAACAGAAAAAGCAAAAGCAAGTGGACAAAAAAAGTTTCCCTCATACAGATATTATTCTCTCACATATATACTGTACATCTGGAATGTCCATATTTACATTGATGTAGTATAATCAGACGAAAAAGTTAAAGTTTTCAAAACAACTCCTGTTCCTTTTTTGATTGTTAGCTTGTCTGTCAAAATTAGTCATGAAATGTGAGTAAAAAATACAACCTTAAATATTATATTAGATATTCTGTAATTTTCTGTATAGACAGGAGTTTACGACTGAAAGGTGCCAAGGGTCACAAGTCTTGTGGTTGTTCAGATGTAGTTTTGCAAAGCTAAGCTGTGCTAATAAATAATGAATATGTGTGAAGTACAATGTGTCATCTGCTGTTTGTATTTACCCCATTTTAAAACCTACTAAGAAACAGATGATTATTAATATGCTCTAATATGTAAAACCTTGGAAGAGGGCGGTGTACCTTCTTTTTTATGTCTATATTTTATTAGACGTTCTATTTTTGGAAGTTATATGAGATTCTTAACACAAAAACTTAACAAAAAACTGAGAACTGTGTTTTTATTTTCTAATATGACAACATTTGAAAGTGGAAATTGCAATAATCTAGTCAATACTGGTTCAGTCCTCTACATCCATTTCAACGCAAAATGAAATCGCTCAAGTTAATGTTCAAACAAAACCTTTAATGATCTCATTATTTGTTAATGCTGGCTCTGCACACACACAGAATATGTGTATTTGTGGTTAGTCAGAGTATGTGTGAGCAGAATTCCTGCTGGCCATCATCCAAGTCCTTTAGAGGTCAATCGGCGGTCGTGGAGACCAAAGCCATCAGGGTGACTCTGTAAACATTCATCCTGTCGCCCTTTAAAGTGAGAGGCACGCACATCTGCACCACCTCATAAGGCTGAAACACACAGACGTAAACATGTTGTCAGACAGTATATACATACAAGTATATACACGTGTTTCACACAGGAAGACATTTTAAACCTAATTCTGCTGAAAGTCTTAAATAACACTTTTTTCTCGTGCTGAAATCAACAATATTCCCTCCACATTTTGGAACCCATTTTTCACAACCATGCTTTAACTTTGCTGTACTATTCAACTACATATTGAGTTCCTTGGAAGTCAACTTTTATGACTTTTTTTTGTGATCAACAGCAACACAGATCACCAAAGACAACCAAAGACCAAAATCAGCACTTCCTTACTTTGTATCCAGTGTGGGGTGTCCATGTGATCCTGATGGCGCGTCGCTGGCCTGTGTCCACATTGCCTTTGCTCGGCTCCACATTAAAGCCCTGCTGCTGCAGGGATGCCACATTATCCCAGTAAAACTCACCACCCTGGTAAAAACAGAAATGTCTCTTTAAACCATGATAGTGAATGCTGTGCTAATGTAAATTCAATCCCCGTGTTAAACAACGAAACCTGTGGCAGCAGTCGGTTTTGTTTCTGAAAGCTTCAGGATGCTTAAACATCAGCACGTTACCTTCTTACTGGTTTGTGTGGAGCGGATACAGCCCACTTGCAGCTCCCTGACTGCAGGCGTGATGGCACCCGAGCTACACCTGGCCTTCAGGGTCACCAACACAGGAATGGTGGGGCTCTCCGTCACCTCTGACTCTGCTAAAGAGAGGCATTTTGGAGGCTTTAGTTCTTTAACTACAAGTCATGGATTTTCTTACATCTCTTTAATGATCACACAACCATCAGGGAGAATTAACTCATAAACGTTTCTGTCTTGAATCACCTCTGTGTGGTTAAAAAAAAAACTAAACAAAATTAAAGTTTTGCATATCTGGACTTAAATCAGGTTGAGGTTGAGATCCTTTGGTATGAACTTAAACAAGCCGCTCATGCTGAAAAACCCTCCAATAAAAGTTCCTCCACAGCGATGTATAAGATACACTATCAGTTGTCACAAACACTTGATTGGAGTTCTTGCTGCTAAAGGTGGCACAACCAATTATAAGGTTTAGGGGGCAATTACTTTTTTTTTTTTACACAAGGCCAGGTATGATTGGATAAAATGTTTCCCTAAATCATTGTTTAAAAACTGCATTTTGTATTTACTCAGGTTATCTTTGACTGATGCTGAAATCAATCTGTGACATTTAAGTGTGACAAATATGCAAAAAGCGAAGAAACCACACTGCAAGTTCACACACTTTTGGCACATACTGTATTTCTGCTGCACAGAAAGATGACAAAATTTAAAATATAAAACCTCTTGCACTCTTTAAAAAGTAAAAACATGCTGTGTGAGTGTGCTCGCATTACTCCCATTTTATATTCTTTACATTGGCTCCCAATAGATTTTAGAATTCGTTTTAAAATTCTTGTTTCAACATATAGAGCACTAAATGGCCAGGCCCCAGATTATTTATCCAAGCTTCTTATAAAATACACAGCTGCTCGTTGTCTTCGCTCACAGGCTCAGAGTTTGTTCGTTGTTCCCCGTACAGGACTGAAGACGAGAGGGGACAGAGCCTTTCAGTCTGTGGCACCACGGTTGTGGAACAGTTTACCTCCACAACTACGTTTGGTTGACTCTGTGGAATCCTTTAAAAAGCAGTTAAAAACTTTATTGTTTAAACTGGCCTTCTGTTAATCAACACTTTTGAATTGTTTTGAATTTGCATTGTTTATATTGTCTATTTTATTACTTAATGTTTTCTTTATTTTAATCTTTGTGTACAGCACTTTGTGACTGCCTGTCTACGAAAAGCGCTTAATAAATAATCCTTACTTACTTACTTGAAAAGAAGAAAAAAAAGAAAGAAAACAAATAGCATATGTGTGAAAATTATTTAAAAACACAGCTGGAAACGATGAAACTATATAAATTACACCATGGCAAATTGCTACTTCCTTATTCAAGACATTTAGAATATGCACATTTCATCAAGTCAATTTTTGCTCAGTGTCAGTGAGAGGCGTTCAGAGCAGCATTTGAATGCACCAACACCTCTTGGACTCAGTACAGTTTACTACTACCTCACTGAGGAGGTGCGACTATTTCACACGTGGATTCGGTGGTAAAATATGATCTGACTGCTGGTGACAAGCGCACGGGCTGTCAGCAAGCTATGATTAGCATAAATTACTTCATCACATACGCTGGCCTTGCTCGCGTAAATCATGAAAAGTGTATGCAAGATATTAGTCATCTTTACAGTGTCAGTGTAAGATTTTCCCAGTATTTAAGAGCATATTGGAGAGAAAACAGTGAAATTGAATCATGCCACCTGTGAGCTGAGGTTCACTGGTTATGACTGGAGGGAGCAGGGATTCAACAGGCGCTGTCAGCGGGTCTCCGCCACACAGATACATGCTATGTGAAGAGGCTGCACCCTTCAGCTCCATCACACACACTTTACTCTGAGAGACAGAAATGGCACAGGGTTAAGGTTGTTATATCATCAAGACCAGAGAGGACGTCCAGGCTGCAGTAAGGACATCTAAATAACATGAATGCATTAGGAACAGTGTTTTAGCCTTGGCCATGCGATCAGTTTTTATAAGCAGTGATTGAGGACAAGGACAGGGTGAGAGCACGCATGCATTCACAGCTGAAAGAGCGTGTGAATCTGTACACGTGTGCGCCCCTCTGACCTTATTCATGAGCTCTATGGTGAGTTTGTCAGAGTAGTTGACAGACGGGTGGTCAGGCTGAAAGGTGACCGTGAATTCTTGGCTCTGCCCTGGAGGAATGCTGCCCTCTACTGGCACCACACTGAACACACTCAACCCACTGTAGTTCTGAGTCCCTGCACAAGCCAGAAAACACGTTGCTAGGTCAGTATGAAAGAATTGAACTGTTGGAGCACATTACCCTCCTGTTTTTTTAAAGCAAATATTCTGACATTTACAGCATTATTACAGTTTCATATGTGTTTGTCTGTCAGTGGGATTATGCAAAAACTGCTAGTTTTAATTTATGAAACTGTGGAAATTTAAACTATTGGGCTATTTGGTGCACACTTGTGCTCTCTTATACAATACTTCTAGTAGGTAATACTGTATTAAAGTCAAGTTAAGGTCAAGTTTAGTAGTATGTGTAGTCAAATACTACAAAAACGTCTACGTGAGCAGTGAAATACGGACAAAGTGTTAAAAATACAAGCTGCAATCTGTTTTCCCTTCTGGAGCTCCAAACAAATCTTACCCACAGCAGGGTGGACATGGGAGTTTGCATATTCTTCTAGCAGAAAGGCCACCCGGTCAGCTCCACCCTGAGGTCTGAAGGGAGAGAGACTAGCGAGCATCACCCTGAAGCTCACTGCCACCGCTGAGCTGTTCTGCAACTGCAGGGAGAACGAGATTTAATGCCAGTGACCGAGGCTGTTTTTCCCTCATTACTCTGTAGTCTAAAAATATCTTGCATGGTGCTGCCTTTGTTTTTCTTAATGGTGACGTGATGATGAAAATGAAATAGTCCAACAAATACGGGAACAATCTGAGAGGAAGTGAAGTGCAAAGAAGGGATGGGAGACCAGGAGAAAAAGGAGGTAGAGGAGGGTTAAGGAGAGATCTATATGGAACGACCCATTTGAAAGAGAAATAGAAAACACCCAACACGTTTTTAGCATCAGCTTTAGCTGTGAGTGTTTTCATATGGCTCAGAGTTATACTAACGCATCCATGACTATAACCATAAAACCTGTGAGTCTCCTCACTATGATTAACACATGAAAATGGCCCCTTTTACCATTTTTACTCGTTCCACTTAGTGTTTACATGAATCATAAAATATGTTTAAGTTAATGTACTTAAATAAAATTACATCAAAGTTAACCAAGTGAGTTTTTTTCAGTCCACTAAGAAATTAGTATTCAAAAGTAACTAGCGACAGTTTTTGTTTTTTTTGTTCGTATTAACTTTCACACACCTTCACGACTTGTGAGGCAGTCTCCTTCTCCAGCACATAGCCAAAGTCAAGAACATCTCCATTGTGGGAGGAGGTGACAGCAGGGACTATTCCCTCCCCGAGAAGAGTCATTTCTAGGGTCATTTTCTGGCACCGCACCTCCAGCATGTCACAGCACTGGAACAGTACAGGTTAGATGAGTGTGTTCATCATTATACTTGATTAATTTTACATAAACAGGTACAAAGAAGACTCAATGTATTAACACAGATGGTCGGCTTGTCACTCAAAGCTAAATTATAATATTTACATAGTTAACCCACCTTTTTTTCCAAAGTTGGACTGAAGGCGAGAATCAGAGTGTGTTTTTCTCCAGGTCTTATGGATCTAAGAGCATTGAGCAGGGAAAAGGGACTGTACATGTCCAACACCGACGAGCTCAGCTTATAAAGGGTTAAAGAAAAGCTACGGTGAATATTATAGTAGTAGAAGCAGTGCATTGATTTTGTTTTTTGTAATCTTTGATTTGTGGACATGAAAGTAAAACATGTAAAGAGCTGCCATTCATAAGGTGAAGTGGATTAAATGTCCAGGTACATCTGAAATGATGGAATAATCTCAGGTTTCACTGTAGAGTGTTGGTGGTGAAGTATTTACATAATCTGTGCTATCGGTGGTGATCCATTTGAACACATAACATCTTTTTCTTCAACTTGTTGTTGTTCACATGTCATCCCTGATAGGACTTTTCCAGATTTTTGCAATTTCTTTTTTATTTAGCATGAGCTAAATAAGATCTGTTTGTCTCTAGCAGAAAGTAGAGACAAACAGAAATTATGGTGAAACTAAGACAGGAAATGAAGTGAAACAAAAGCCCCAAAGCCAGACTAGAAATGTGGATGTTGAGATTAATAGTTAGCATCTTCAACCCCAGAGACACACCAACAGCCTGCTTCCATCCTAATGCAATGATGGTGAACAGAATTTCATTTACGATGCTGCTGGCAAATGTCACAGTGCGCACTATAAATAGTTTTCTCCAAACCACAGTCTATAAACCTTGTAATCAGTGCGATACCATGGTGTCTGAGAGCTTGAGAGATGAGCCATGAAATGCACCTTTCTCCAGATTTTGATATCCTCAAATCACCACCTGTCTGTGATGATAAATTCTTCTGGAGATAACAAAGAAAATGTGCTTTATTTGTCTAATTTGGGTGACCTGACTCTTTCATGCACAATTATTTAGTTCTGAAAGTCAAAATGGAACTTTAACACCAAATATCTGAATTCTGCTGTGTATAAAGCAACACAGTGTGCACATAATACACATTACTGAAAAATCCTTCACACAGATAAATTCAGAAAAGGGAAAAAAACCACATACATATGTATTATGAATATCATGAGTATCACAAATGTTTAAAGCTGTCAGCAAGGTAATCAATAGTTTTGTAAAAAAGAAAAAGAAAGGATACATCCAAAGATTCCTGTGAAATGTTCTGAACTGTAAACCTTTTAATCACTCTTTCTCCTACAAATGGAAGACACAAATACAACAAGGTAGATAAGAATAAAAATCCAGCATCATTTAAGCGTTTTTAATGTAACTATACATTTTTTATAAACGACTCACCCACTGTCACCTGATGGAAGTTTATGATATTGCAGCCATTGTTGGATATCACCACTAGAGGGGGTTGTACAGCAGGACACTGAAGCTTCAAGTAGAGCGTATTGAAGGGACTGAGGAGGTAAAGGACATCTGATGAATGCAGATCCATATATGTTGTTGTTGTTTTTTTTTTAATTAAAGTGAAGCTTAAATGACATAAGAGATGTAGAAGTGTAATATGATCTTCACCATAGAAGCTGAATACCTTCTTGTAATATAATTATTCTAGCACAAAACCAACCTAGAAAACTGAGATGGGGCCATTAGCAAACTTTTTTTAGTGGAGTATTAACTTTTTTGAAATGCACCTTTTTTTAACTATTTCTGAGATTTATACCAGCTAAAGAAATCTTCTATTTCTTGGACATACATGCTCCCTTAATAGACTATTAAAACTCTAGAGGCATTTAGTTACGCACACTTATTTGTATAAAAAGAAAAGTGGTAAATGCTCCACAGGTCAACAACCACATTTTGTCAGGTCTTGTGCTTGAAGTCAGATGTCAAATAATTTTGGTTATTCAACTTATCAAAAACTCCACATGGAAACACAGTTATCTCAAGGTAATGTCACCGTCACAGAAATAGGAAGAAACAGAGGTAAACTGGGAGCCTAACTGTTGTTATGGTTGTCATTTTAAGCAGTCAGGTGGGGGGAGCAGAATCAAACCCCCCACAACACAAAAAATAAGTGACAACAAACTTGACAAATATTAAATCAGAGACACTACGAAACGAGGGCTGGTGTTGACGTTTGATATTGTGGGTAGCTTAAAAAGTGTTCCTTATATGCAATAGCCAGTTGTATATAGAAGGTTTGTTGATAATACAAAATAAGGTATGAATCTAATACCAAGTAAAATACCGGGGTCAGGATTGCTGATACCAACACAGATACTGATACTTTTAACCTATAAAGGCAAATTATATAGTGGAGACCAGTGTGTGATGATGTATGAGACCAATCATCATCAATCTGCAAATTTTTTAATGACCACTAAATATTTTTTTCTTTCCACAATAAATGGTTAATACAAATAAACACAACTTTAAACATTTTCATGCATTTTGAAACTAGGTTTTTGAAGAGGTGGTATGTCATTTAATTAGAAAAAAACAACACATAAGACATTTCAGTGGGCTACATACTGAACTTACAGGATAAAAACAAAGAATCGATCCTATTGCACTAGTATCAATCTGATATCTATATTTGGATGGATCTGCCCACCTCTACATGACAAAAACCTAACATGACGGGGCCTACAGTGTGCTGTACACGTGTATATGGAAGCTGATTACTGACCTCCATGCTGGCTGGACTAGTTTGTCGTCCTCTGGAGGGTCTCCATCTGACACAAAGCAGGGAATGGTGTACTCTCTATAACGTTTCCTGAAGGAGTATAGTAGAGAGGCCTTGGCCTCCTCATACCAACTTGACCTTAAAAGGAAAAGAGTAACAATTAAACATATAAAAAGACTCCTTGTTGCGAGCACTTTTTTTGTACAATTCCAACAAACCTTAAAGTCAATAGTTGGTATGCCCTCGTTTATTCTTGAACACAGCCTGAACTCTCTTAGAAAACCTTGTAGTTTATTTAAGTATCTTCAGGAATAGTTCTCCAGGCTTGAAGGAGATTCAACATCAGTGACACTAACTCAATATTTTCCATCTGGTCAAAAACTCGTCGTCCTCCCTGCAAGACTGACCGGGCTGTTGACCACAGTGTGCTGGCCCACCTGGCTAGATCGACTAAGCCTACTGTCAGGCATGGTAACTCCAGCATCAAGTTTGGTCTATTAAACATCCGCTCTCTCCCTGGTAAGGGACATCTGGTCCATGATCTCCTCTGTGATCGTAAGTTGGACTTTCTTTGCTTGACTGAAACATGGCAACAGCCCAATGACTTTGTTTCTCTCAATGACTCCACTCCGTCTGAGTTTGTTTACACCTGTCAACCTCGCATCTCGGGGAGGGGCGGAGGTCTCGCGATAATTCACCGGAAGCACTGGGAATTACTCCCTGTCTCTGCCCCTCCCTCCCATTCATTTGAATACATTGCACTACAGCTCCCTGGATCTACCCCCACCATCATATGTACTGTTTATCGGCCACCTAAGCCAAATAAGGAGTTTTTAAATGAATTTTCTGCTCTTCTCACTCATTTCTCTGTACTTTCTCCAAATCTGATCATTGCTGGTGACTTCAATATTCATGTGGACAATGATAAAATCCCTCTTTTCAGAGATTTTACCTCCTGCCTGGAAAGTTTTGGGCTTCTACAGTACATAGAATTTCCTACCCATTCTAAAGGTCATATCCTGGATTTGGTCTGTTGTTCTGGCATTACCCCCACCCATTGTAAAGCCACATTGTTTCCCCAGTCTGATCATATGTTTATTTCTTTTGATGCAAACATAAGCGCTTCCAAAACCTGTATCTCTCGTAATATCACTTTTAGGAAAATTAGTAATATCAACCCAGCTGTTTTTTCATCTGCCGTCCATGACCTTCCATCTATCCACAGCTCCTCAACCCCTCTGAAAGGTGCCCTCAAATAAAATGCATTATTATTATTATTATTATTCAAAGTTCTTCTTTGGATGTTGGCTGCTTTTTGTTCTGTTCTCTGTCAAGATCATTTCACACTGCTTGAGGTCTGGGCTCTGGGGAGACCAATCCATGACTGATAATGTTATATTGTGTGTTTTTCTATCTGTGTATCCTTTTACTCCATTGGCAGCGTGTTTTTGACAAGAGCTCAAACATCACAGACTAAAATGCAGCCCCAAACCATGACGGAGCCTCCACCATGTTTTACAGATGGCTGTAGACACTTACTGTTGTACTGCTCTCCTGTTGTCCTTCATATATACTGATGAATATTTGGACTAAAAATTTTAAATTTGGATTTATCACTCCATATGATCTGTTGCCCCTGATTCTCAGTGCAGTTCTTGTGCAACCTATTCCCCCTGTTTCCCTCCCTTAAGAATGACATCTTGACAGCGGACCTTCCACTGAGACCATTTTTGATGAGGTTTGGGTGAACAGTAGACGAATCAGCTGAAGGGCCAGATGCATCTCTCAAAGTGCCTAAAGATAGAATTTAAAACTAGTCCTTTGTGTAGACACAACAATGGTTCAGTGGCTTTTTTATCCTTGAATGATTCACAAGTCAGTGTTAAGTGGCTTAACAAACACAAGTGCATTCCTTTGGACTGGACAGAAAATGAGTGAATAACCAACCAAAGTCTGTAGACAACCTTTGAAAGACCTTCATAAAGCCTGGAGAACTACTGCTCAAGTCCACTTTAAAAAATTACAAGAAATTCTGACTCCTTGTAAGGAAATGATGGGTGGTTCATGAATTTTGTAAATGAATATATTTTGTGATCACCGTGAATGAAAAGAAATGGGAATGCTGCTGAAATCAATTAGTCACTGGAATAAGAAGAAAAAACCAACAACAACAAAAAGAAAAAGAAAAGCTTTGTTAGTAGTTGATATTCTAGTGTTGTTGGATCTCAGAAGGTATTAATTAGATTTAGCCTTTTGAAAGGAAGTACAATTAGAGAAACATTTTTTATTTGCAGTCCAGCAAACTGGATCTGTTTGATTAGATTGAGTAAATAATCTGTAGAAACCTACCCTGGTACTATGTTGCCAGGATCTGGTGATTCACTTTGCTTTCCTTTCTCTGCTTCATTGGACACCTTGCTGTTTTTTGGATTCACTGACGCCTTTTTCCCCTTACTAGGTTCCAGTGGGATCTCCAGTTTTGCCTTACAATGCACATGAACATGAGTGATGGGTTCATACTAAGGTAGATGACTGAAGGGACTACATCTTGCAAAAAAAATGTTCTGTGTGATTATGAAAGTAAAAAAAAAACCCCATTTAGTCACTTAAGATGTGTTCACATTTAAAAACCCTGGCACAAGCGGACAGTGGCTGGAGTGGGAAGGTGGGTGTTAAGCTGTACCTCCTGTTCAGCGAGTCTGTTTCCCTCGAGCTCACTCTCATAGAGCAACTTGGCTCGATGAAGACGACGGAGCGCCTCTTCTTTGATCTCCTGGTCCAACAGTCTGGGTTTGAACGTTACCTGGACAAGACATCTCTGGGGTAGAGGAGAGACGGTGATATGTCTGAAATTGCTCAGATTTAGAGGATAACACAGGATATTTCTGTGTGTTTCTTTCATGCTACAGTGTTCCTACACCATATCACTTTTTAACTTCAAACCTCTGCTTCATATTAAGGTTGAAATTAGCTTTCAGCAGTGTCCTGTTTTGGGGTTACTGGTTTGTAACAATTCAAGCGGACTGATATATTACCCTGGATCTCTGTGCCTTCTAGCACTTGTGAAGTTGTCACTGTAAATATATTATTCTTAATATCTTGCTTGGAAAATAAAGTTTAAATAAAAAAAATACTGGAGTCTGGAGGTAAGTGGTCATCTGGAAAATAAGACTTAAAATTAGACTGTCAGAACCAATAAAAGTGATTTTCATTGAGCTTTTCCCCCCCCCATTTATATCTATAAATAGTGCTTGTTCACTTCCATCAGGTGTCCAGCAGAGAGCATCATTACACTTATAATTCCCTCTGAGCACAGATGGTTTGGTTCCTTAGCTCTGTGCTTATTAAGATCATTTTTAACCAAGATGTAGTAAATAAAAACTAACCGCTTTCTCTAATGTTTAATTTCTTTATAGAAACAAAAGGTCACACTATCTTGTCCATTCAGGTTTATAAATGCATTCAGAAGGAGATTAATCTGTTTTTGGGGCTGATGTGAGATTTTGGATGGATGGAGTTGGATGATGTGTACTCTTAAGTGGTAAGGACAAAAAAAACAGATGGCCCACATTGTATTATTTTACAGATATTACAACATGAAATTATTCAGTTAATAATTAGTTTCAGCTAACTCTAGAATAAGCTACTAAGTAGATTTAAATAGACTGTCTAACTGTTATAAATCTGAAGTCTTCTTCACACTAGCAACCTTCTATGTATAAAACCGGTGGTGTGTTCCTTTAACATAAGTGTAAACTTAATAAGACGTGTTATACCGCACCTCACCAGGAAGAAGGCGTCCTGCAGACGGACTGATGTCGATGTCTGAGTCCTCTGGCAGGGCGAAGGAGAACAAACGGGGCATTACAGGCGCCTTGACCCCTGGAGAGACTGGTTGTCTATTTTGGTCACGGCCCGTTTGACGGTTGCTCAGGAACAGCATGGCAGTGGACTGGTCACCTACTGCTGTGGCTCCAAACTGAACCAGAAAATGGGAGAGCTCCAGTGGTGGGTGGACACCCACTGCTCGGCAAGACAGCAGAAAATCTCTGATGACAAAATGAATGTTTTTGCTATGGATCAGTAGGTATTGGATTTAATTGAATAAACGGGATCAAAACATTCAGTAAAGGCAGTGATTAAAATGTCCTATCAACAGATAAGTACAAAAGACTGAATGTTTAAGCAGACACAATGATGCCATAAAGAGTAAATGTCCTTCATTTACACACAGTGTAGGATTTAAAACTAACCTGTTAATTCCAGACTTGCAGCTGAGCTGAAAGACGTACTCTTTGGCAGTTTGGGCACTAAAAATCAGATCAACCTCCAGGGTTTCTTGTGGGAGCAGAGTACCAAATCCATCATTGGGCTGAACCTCAATAAACTTGATTTAGAGAAAAAACAAAAGCTTTAAAGTTATAACTCAGGATGTTTTCATGAAATCTAACTTAGACTCTGATGCTGGTTGCTGTAGCCATTTAAAGCATTTACATTAAGTAATTATCCCTCCGTCTGTTGTTGCTTTTATTGGTGGCAGCAGAATCTGCCAATCCAAACATAGGATGCACATTGTCTTCTTAAGCACGGGGGATTACGAGGAAACAATGTAGGATAACAGCCTCTCTGTTTACTGTTCACTCTCTTTACACTATAAGAGCTATATAAAGTTACTGTTTATGCAAACCTAACAAATTTTAATAATAGGAGGAACCCTGTGGAATGGAACAAACAGTGAAAGTGGGATGTGGACTAAATATGATTCTTCCATAAACATAACATTATCTGCAAAGATAGCAATGCTTGTATCTGGATCCACGCAACTCTACCTCACTAACACATTAACACTTAATAGAAGAAAAGGTTTTCACATCATTCATGCAGTACCTCAGGCACACCCAAGAAGCCAAAGTCTTGGGGTAGGAGGGACAGATTGGTGAGGCGAATGCTGCTCTTGACTGACTGGTAAATGGAACAGTAGCCAAAGTCCACCTCGCTGTGGTCAAACTGCAGGTCTGAGGAGGTCACAATGGCGTGGACGGTGAAATGGGCAGGCTGCACCTGCACAAACATGAAGCATCTTTACATCTTTGTTCTCCAGACAAACATCTTTATATCAGTGAAGGTAAATCTGTCTTTCTTTTTTAAGTACAACATGAAATTTCTTTTAATTTCACTTTATCATAATATTGCTAACCTGCCCCAGAAAAAGTTTGGCTTATATAATACAACTCCACGGGCTGTCCTGAAAACTGTTCTGGTATCACTTTTTAAATCTTAATTATACATTATCATATTCTGAGTCAAAAACATGGGCGTATTACAGACTGATGTTGCTTTAATTTACAAAGACTTCTCAAGTCTGTGAATTAACAGACAGATGCAGTTGAATTATCGAAAGAATCAAATTGATGTTTAACATCAGTCATGGCTAAAATCGAGCAATTTTTGTGCATTCGGTCATTTTTCATTACCCTGCACTGATAGAAATGCGTCTATGTTTGTGTGTGTGCACGTGTGTGTGTGTGTGCAAGCCAAAACAGGGCTGTGGCTCAGAGTCGGCTTTACAAAGCACCGACCTAAGTACATTTTTTACAATTAGTTAGTCCTAGTCTATAATTTTTGAGGTCTGGTCATGTCTTTATTTCTCTTTCATGAACAGCTGAGCTCTCTAGCTTTTACAGGAAATGTTTCTCAGGCAGGAGTAAAACAGAACATTTGTTCGAGACTATTTTAAGCAGTGGATTAATACACATTTCATGCTCCAATGAGTATTCATGGAGGCAGGGTGATGTGTTTGAGATCCACTCAAAATAAAATTTGGTGTCACGTTTTTGTGAACAAATCAATGTGTATGAATTTGGAGCTCCTCAATGCAGAAAACGAAGTTTTGGAGCTCATGAGCCTCGTTAGCCTTATTCTCTGACAGCATTTAATTCATGTGAATTGTACTAGACAAGAGGCAATTTTGTTAAATTTTGTCAGGTTTTGTGAATTTTTCCCCCCAGCAGTATAAAGCAGATGAGCTTGTTTACTGCACCATTGATTTCCAGGCTGCTGTGATGTCTGGTGACCAGTTGGTGTATGTATGAATGTGTGTGTGTTTTCATGGTGTAATGCCAGGAGCTCATGACTAGGGGCTGGGGGCAACAGCTTTGGTGCATCACAGGAACATCCTGGCCCGCTCTTTGGCTTCTCGTCAGAGCTACACCCCTTCCATGCCCCAGCCCTCTCCTCTCCACGTCCCAGTAAAGTCAGTGAATAGTCGCTGGCTGGGGAGGTAGAGGAAGGTGACAATTTGGCAAGTAGACTGTCCAGATTTAGATTTACTGAAAAAAAGCTGGCAAAAGCACAGCACGAATGTCTAAGCAGCTGCTCTGTGTTTTTAATAAACACTGTCTGATGATATGAAGGAATTCAGCTGCAGTTTCATTTCCTCTTGAGAGGAATGGTCCAGAATTTCCACTTATATCCTTGTAAACAGTAGCTGCATTAATGTGAATATATAATGATACATTTATGAACTAATGTCTTAGTACAATCCCCCAAAAGAGTGACAAAACAGGCCAAGAGATCCAGTCAAATACTGCCAGATAAGTGATTTTAAAATCAAAATCACAGACACCTGAGTCTCACTTATGCATCACACTAAGTTACAAAAAACAAGCAATAGATAAGATGCTGGCATCTTGTCTGTAGCGAGCATCACTGAGGCTCATGAATATCTTAGTACGTCACTCCTACTTGCGGCCCATATATCGATGTAAAAAAATCGAATTCAATTTGGCCCATGAAGTTACTATTTTTTTTTAGGGTGGATTTGTTTGTTGTTGAAGTTCTTACAAATAAGTTCTTTAAAAAGCAAAAACTTATTTAACATGAAGGAAATATGAGCAGAGAGTACAAACATGTTGAGGGATTGGCTGTGTTAGCGTTTTTATTTTGTTAAATACGAACAAAGTTATAGCAGAAGTGCTGCCACGTGTCTGGCCAGAAAGAGAGTACCAATGTCTTTATTTGGTAGTTCAATGAAAGGCTTCAGTTGATTAAGAGTGAGAAAAAAAATGTGTTCACATTTGCAGTTTTGTCTTATTATACAATATTTGAAATGAAAAAACAAACAAACAAAACACTATATGTTCGGAAATATTTGTGGGTGTTTTCTTGTTTGTTTTGTACTACTTGGACACTAAAGTGGCCCTTCAGTGAGATGACAGGGCCAGCAGTGGCCCACAGCTCATTTAAGTTTGAGATCCCCGTCTTAGTATGTAGAATCATGTACTAAACCAACTATATTTCCCAGCAAACAACATTCATTTATTCAAACACGCTGCCAGAGCAGAACCTGAAGCAGAAATGTTAAACTCATTTTACACTGTGGGCCACATACAGCTTGCTTTGGTCTTAAGTGGGTTGGACCAACTGTTTTTCTGTAAGTTGAAAGATGTTTAACTACGTGTTTAATGGGTGAGATATTTAATATAAGAAAAAGAAGTGTAATTTCAATGGTATGTCTCAGTTTTTGTAGATGATGTAGTCAGTAAAAGAAATCTGTCAGCATGACTTAAACTGTAAGAAATAAATGTTTAAAATGACAGAAAAAGCACTGGCATGTTTTTGCCTAAGTTAATTAACAAAAAGCTTTCTTTTTAATTTACTCTGAAATCACTGTAAATATATACAGAAATTTCTCTTTTAGATAATGAAAAAAGTTTTCTGTCATTTGCTTATTTGCTTTTACTTAATTACAATGTTTTTGTATCAATTACAATATGGGAGGTCTCCCCTCCTTCACATTTCCCAAAGCACTGCAATGGGCTGGATTGGATTCTTTGCTGGGCCAGTTCTAGCTGCCGGGCCTTATGGTTTGACACCCCTGACCTAAAGCATCAGAGTACTACATCAACATGTGTACTGCTCTATATGTATGTGATGAAATCAAGAAAGATGACAACTGCCTTTGCTGCTGGGCAAGAGGTTTTAAGGTAGTCAAATTTTGCGCACAACAGGTACTCCATAATAAAAGAAGGGGATAACAAATACATCTGAAACCTACTTTACCATTTTTGTGCTACTGCAGACAGTTTCAGCAAAACTATATGGGATAACCTTTATGCTTGGCTTATTAGTGTCCATGGAATAACTGGGCCTTGGGGGCGGGAGATAATTTTAGCTTGTTACAAGCAAAATAGGTTACAACCTTCGCTAGCTGCGCTTCTGTTTAGGACAAAGTAGGACACTAGCACTGCACTACACGTTCAAGCCCACTGCTTTCAGGATCACATTGCTTTTATCTGCAATATACGTGTATAGTGCGTAACATGACACAAACCTGGCCTGCTACTTGCACTGTCATTGGAACCTCCAGGACTCCTGTGTCACTGTCAAAAAACTTTGCATCTTTGGACAGGGAGCGTCTGTGAGAAAGCAAAAAGGAAGGCGTGAGGAAGTCGCCATTTGTCATAAAAACAGCTTTATCTTCATGTTCACAAGCAGAAAAGAGCAAAGACATCAAGTAGAGGCTGAAAACAAACACGTAATCGCAACAGTGATTTTGATGCGTTTTTATTTGTTTTGTTAAAATACACAAAATGCCATCTGTCAAAAGCCACAAGCCAGTGAAGAAAGAAAGAGAAAGATTCAGACCCTGAAGACCCATTACTTTACTTTAACCCACGACTGTAGGATCGGCACGCCGGGGAAAGCAGGAGAGAGATGCAGAGCGCGCCTCCACACTACTGTAGGTTGTAGCCATGGTGATGGGAGACGTAAGTATGATTCAAAGAGGACCAGTAGTCATGCACAGGCTTATGTAAAACTCCAGTCCCTCAATATCCCTCAGTGTCAAGAGCTGCTCTCGTGCTAGCACCAGTAAAAAACTGCATATATGCACGTATGCAGAATTCATTAGCATGTAAAAAAAAAGAAAAGTGGTCAAATGTCAAATGCTGTTTGTGTCTTAGATCCACCCACCACCTCCTCTCTCCTTCTCCTAACATCCTTCAATTTTCCTCGCTTTCCCTCCCTTTCTCTCCTTTCAGCTGCCTCCCTCTGTCTTTTCCTCTTTACACTCTTAATGCCGGTTGAAGGCTTGAGAGCTAATGCTGTAAATGTCATTGGTTTTAAGGCTCCCCAGATGCTAGTGTGTCTTTTCAAAGCGCTACAACCACCCTCGCCTTCAGCAAATCTGTCAGCTTCAAGTTCGAGGAAAGGTTTGTATTTCGTACGTCCCAGAAACTGCTCTACGACAACCCCATTCATGACTCAAAAACCCACAAAGGTCACCTCCTCACCCATCAAAATTAAATCTCTGCAATTACAAAGTCCTTTTTTTCCCCCTACATAGGTTGACCAATGAGTGCAGAGGGAGTATTTAAGGAAGCACTCTTGTTCTGCCTGCTAATAGAATCGCTGCTGGAGAGTCACTCTTGAATTAGCTTGGCAGGGCAGAGTGGAAAAGCCTGGTGGGGCGTCGCCAGGCCCATATGCTCGGGAGAATTTTGTCGATGGATAGGCTTTCAGATTTGTCAGTGTCCTAAACAGATTTACTTGTGTGCTCTTCCTCTCTGCAGCCAGATTATCCACAGTCCAAAAGCAATTCTCCTCTATAGCCTTTATGGTACTTCAGAGATTAGTAGATGCAGTAAAACTCAAATGGTTGTTCTAACTTCCGAGCCGCAATGCAAATAACCAGAGTATTTCAAGTGAAACTACTGATATAACCTGTTCAATCCAGCAGGTGGTTTTTCTAATGACCAGCTTTAATCTATAACAGTGAGGAGGAAAAAACCAGAAGGAAGCCTGTTTTTCAGGGGACTTTATGAGCTTACAACACAGCGCTTCCTTTCGCTTGAGTAAAAATAATGTATTCACATAGAAAATATATACATTCCTCTTCAGTCTGCACTCGTATTTAGACTTCTCTTCACCATTAAAAAAAGTGATTATGTAAGGGATTACAGATTAAGAGGCTTAAGGATTTTTCACTGTGCAAAAACGGGCGGACGAGAATTACAGTAAATGACCATTAAGTAAAAAAACATAATGATGGGAAAGAAATAAGTTACGGAAGTTATTATGTTTGCTTGTTATCTTGAAACCCACTGCAGTGTGAACGTTTCTGATGAGAGTCGTGCGTTAGCAGTTAAAGTGCTGGCAGAACCATTCAGTCTAATCTGCAGTAATCTATCCTTGTAATCTCCCTTTTATCAGCTGGAACTGCCAGGGTTGGAGACATTGCCTGCTCTTCAGAGATTACACCTAAAACCACTAATTCGAGTAGTCCTGTTCAAATGATCCCGTCATCAGCAAAAACAGGGAAACAAATTTCCATGAGTTAGATTGAAATTCTCCACAGGCACAACCTAAGAATGTGCTTTCCTTTTCTGTGGGACAGATTTTAGAAGAAGCCAAAATTTAGGACCAAAAGAGCCAGCTCACATGGCATGGTAATGCATCTTATAACGGTGCGGCGTGTAACGTTTCAAGACATATTTAGTATGTTACAATAAAGTACAATATGTAAAAGAAAGGGAAACTCTCAAATTCAAAGCAATTTTGATTGTAGCTTTTGTGCTGGCAGTAAATGACAAAGTAAAAAGACTAAACAACCCTCCGCCGAACAGAAATGAGCTAACACGAACCGAATATCGGGCGGCACAAATGTCACGAAACAAAATGGCAATCACTCTGATTCCGTCAGCGTCCATCTGAATTCAAACGAGCAGCATTCCTCTTCATCGAGCGGGATCATAAACATGTGAACCATTAGATTTAGTACAGTACAGAGGGGATTATGCTGCACATGGAAGAATGTGAGGCAAAAGAGTGAGTGGGCTAGATGTGACAAATAAAGGTGGAGGAAGACAGGCAGCGAGGGCTGAAGCAAGAAGAGATGCTGAATGATGTGGGCAGGCTAAGCACAATCCCTCGGAGCAGGAAGCAAGAATGTGCTCACCCTCTCCCAAAAGCCTGAGGAGGGGAGGCAAGAAGGAAACACCTGTATAAAGAATGAAAGCTATGAGTCATTTGTGAATCCAGATTTAACAGTGTGTGAGTGTGTGCGCGGATTAGACAGTGAGTGAAAGCAGTGCTTCTAATGAGGATTTGGAAATCCAATGATAATCCCTGGCTGAAGGAATTGGCAATGCCATCTTAAATGACACACCGCCACTGCATAACACAAAAGCAAACCTACCAAAAATCAACAGATTGGGAGGCGAGATCCAACCATGACAGAGATGACACATACAGGGACACAGCTTGATGACATGCTGGAAACATACTTGTTTTCCAATCCCAGTGAGAATCATGTGAGTTTCTGCTGTGGATGAAGGACACTGTTTGGGTCCTTGGGGTATCTTAAAGGAGAATTAAAATCTTATTTTGTAAAGCTTTAGCCACCTTTTGAGACCATACTTACCTACAGAACGGGTTTATGTCTTTGAGAGACATAAACCCCTGATAATCTTTTAAAAACCCAGATCATCGTTTACTCACTGGTGTTTTGCAGATACATACAAAACCCTTAAACACTCAGTTTAAAATTGTATTTCATGCATTTAGCTCACAAGTGGAAGTGAGACATATCTCTGTTTCCACCTGTGTCTATCACGTGTGTCCAAGGTGTCCAACTGACTACTCGTGTTCAGTCTGTCTACGTCACTTCCAGTGAAAGGGCCTCCACGCACAGCCCTTTGTCCATCTGTCACTGGTCAACCTCCAGATTTGTTTAGTAAGGGCTAAGCACTAATAAACATATATTCCAACTGCTGAGATTGTCAGGACTTTTTGTGACACATGCCAAAACAAAAAAACAAGATATTTTCCTGATATGTCCTTATTGGCAACACATCATAGCACAGTACAGTTCGCACTACAAAAAGAGATGTGTCCAAATGCAGGAGGACTGGCCACACCTGAAGTTCCTGCCACACACCTGTTGGTGATCAGGGCTCGTCAGGGGGAGCTACTTAGGAGAGTGTTGGAGCTCCCACCGGCGTGGGATCATTGAGTTGTCGTCCCAAGTTAGTGTGGTTAGTGTGTGTGTGTGTGTCTCAGCGTATGACGGTGCAGTTCGTGTATGCCCGCCAGGGTTGGTGTTGACGGCTGTTTCTGTGGTTTTTCCGCAGGTGGAAGAGTGGACCAGAACGGCAGCACACACGGGGTGTGCGAGAACACAACAGCCGGGAGCACGAGCACAGACGTCGGAGGGGAGCACATACACACGGGAGTCAAGGGAGCAACTGGGATTTATTGTGTTTACAGCTCTCAATGTAAATAAATGCACTGTTTGCACACAGAGCTCTGCGCCTGGGTCCTCTTTCCCCATATCCCCACGGTCTGCCAGCCAGACCGTGACACTTATGGTTAGAGCCACAAATTGTTTTTGTACTTCACTCAACTTGCAATCTACTTGCACATTATACCAAACATGTCCTTGTTAGATCTGTAAAAAAACAACTAATTGAGGCCACTTGGTTGAAACTGCCGCTTCCAATTGCACCACACTCTTGCTACAAAAAACAATACAACATGCCTTGTATTAGAGCTGGGCGATATGAGATTTTTTCATATCACGATATGTTTTTTTCATTTCAGGCGATAACGATATCTATCACGATATAAGCCAAATAACTATATTTGTAAGATTTAAATGTGCCGTTGCTCACAAGTAAAATGTGAAATAATCAGCAGCTTGTTTTTATTTAAATATTTATTTCCCATAATAAGTTCAACAGGGTAGATGTACTTAAGGAACATGAGACTTTTTCAGATAAATAAAGGCAAATATTGCAAACTACACAAAAGGCAGCCGCTAAAGCGTTTAAGTTTCAAAATAGAACAAACGAAACAGACTAAATTGTCAATTCCACTTAGAAACAAAATATTAATTCTAAAAATAAATCTTAGTTTGTTTTACAGAAGAACAGACAAAACTGACTAACTTTTGTCAATATCAAATAAACTGAGAACTAAAAGGAAATTCTCAATCTCTCCTTGTTGTATAGCTTAGCTTTTCAAACAGTTTTAACAGTTACTTTAGTCTGACAAAAGCCGAATGACGAATTAGCGCTTCCAGTCACACGTACACGGGTATTTTTGAAAACGGAGATTTTCCGTTTTCGTTTTAAAAAATAATCCCGTCCACACATAAAGGCAGAAATGAAGGAAAACGCTGCTATGAACATGCCAAAGCAGCAGGTGGCGCTAGATTCCTAACCGTGCAGAAATGTTGGCCAATCAGAAGTCTAGAAGCCTCGGTGGGAAAAAGTAAACAAAGCTGGGGCATAGAAGCAGAACCGAGTCGTATGTGTGGACGGACAGTAACTGTGTGTATATGTAAGCATTTAAACACTGCAGAGAGTAGAATTAACAGTAACAGTATTGTAGAAATTCATTTCACCGAAACAATAACGTGGCGCACAGTGTGACGCATGCACCAGTTTATTGTATTTCCAGACTTGCTTTCGGCACAATTTACAGTGCACGCTACTCTGTTTTTTGTCAGACTTGAAATAGCCGAAATACCTTCACACTACGGAACTTCTATGGCTCTTCCGTTCGACAATCTCTCCGGCGTTGGAACCTCATCTGTTTTCTCTTCGGTCACGCTCGGTTGATTTTTCTAGTCGGCACACTCATTTCCTCCATTACGCGCTGGCTCCATTACCCGCTGGCTGCTTCCCAAACAAACACACGTGCGGCTTGGCACTTGTGCTGTACGTAACAAGTCACGCGACGTGACGCTGCGGCTGTGATTGGTTCGGCTCTGCGCTACTTAATTTGGATTGGCTGTTTTTTTTTTTTTTTTTTTTGTTTAAGAGGACAAGAGCGGCGAGGTCTATCGCGATAGCTTAATTTCTCTATCGAGTAAAAGTTATATCGCGATACATATCGTTATCGTTCTATCGCCCAGCTCTACCTTGTATACAGCTGGCAGTCAGGTTTTGGCTATGCAGCAAAATCTTAAAAAATGCACATACCATCTGCTACCTATCAATGATATAATACAAGTGTACATTCAGTAAAAGGTGTATTCATTTTGTCTTGATCTGTGATCATATACCTTTTTCCTTGACAAAAATAATAAATAAACACATTTAGAACTGATTCTAAACAGGATATTATCTTGTTAATATACAGTCTGTGTATCAGACTGTGACATAATTACCTGAGAGAAAATAAGGATAATAAACACAGGATGTTAGACTGAAAAATGAAGCAACACAGCAAAACAATTTAATGCCAGACTTACACTTAGTGATATTCTGTTCTCAGAATTTACCGTGCTGAGCTTAATGTTCTAATAATGGATCTACAATCTACAAATAAACAAGATTTACCACTATGAGAACAGTGAAAACAGTGTTGGCCACTCAGAGCACACGGATCTATGTCTGGTGTCTTAGGTTATATAAGCAGATTCAGGACCATCATATAAGCAGTGGTGAATCGTGAATGCATTGAGGGATGAGAGGAGCTTGATACTAACAAAAAGAGGCAGAATAAATGCAGAGTTAGAGCTGGAGAAGTGAAAGAGCACAGAAACACAGAGGACTGCAGAGAGAGAGAAAAACCCAAAGAGAAAGAAGTATAATTAAGCACAGAGGTGATAGGGCAGGAAAAAGAGAAATATGTGTGAGCGAGTGGGAGAAGACGCCACAGAAGCAGGAGAGAGAGACAGAGAGAGAGATGGAGTGATGAAGTGTGATACAGAGAGAGTAGGGAGGGGGTGAAGCTGTAGTTGTGTTAGTGCTCATGAAGGATGCACCATCTCAGCAGCAGCACAAGTAAAGCTGGACTCTAATCCTCGCATTAAAAACCTCTGCTGATTCGCTAAGCCAGATTACTGACATTTTCCCACTTTCCTCTACTGCCACCCTACTGTACGATGACCACTGCATGCCCTTAACTTTTGTCATTTGCAACGAAAATGACCTCCTGTTATTTATTTATTTATTTATGCATACACAAATGTCTTTTCAGTTATCAATACGCAAGGCTGTTGAACTGTGAAACGAGAAAAAAAAGGAGTGTGGGCAGAAGAATACTGACACCCACACAGAGTTTTTACCGCACGCCTCTCATATTTGCCCTGGGGGTCCCCTTGTCCGCTCTCCTGGCATTCAAACCACAGTTCAGCTCCTGCCTCTCCATCTAAATATAGAGCCTGTATTGTTCTTGAAAGAATTACCACATCCTTCAAAGTCATTAGAAACCATTATCACAAGCCTTCATGCCCCTGCGATTAGAGGGCAGGTGTGTTGTACAAACTCTTTTATACCTGCTGGCTGCTGACAGGCTTCAGATTGTTGCCTTTTGTAACTCTGTAAGACTCCTCCGTTTACTTGCTTTGGAAAAGGGAATTGTGTCAAAAAAGCGTTGTAGTAAACTAGTAACGATATCACAACAGATTTCTGTAGCCAGCCACAACACAGGGAAACACGATTTATAGACAAAAAGTAAGCTAGCATAAATTGTTGTGTAAAATCGACGCAGTGAGTGCTCATCACAGCTTCTTTAACTATTTTGCTCATTGTTTTCCGCCACAAAAGCTATTAAACCAGGCGGCTTAAACTGGCAAATGAGGGTTGAGATGGTGGGCTGTGTTATACTTAATAATTGTAGTGCACATTAATCCACTATAGCACTGACTGTGAGGCACAGATGGAAGCTAAGTTGCCCAGGGTACATGGATAGTAGTTGATAAAACAGAGTGAGAGAAAACCGGTAGTTTATTTCCCACTTTGCAGCCTGGAGAGCAAGAGAGCACTGTTAACATTGTTCACTTCAACAACCTGTGATCTAGCTTTCTATAATCCCTAGTCAGTGGGCATAAGTGGAAGGATATCAGCTAAACAGGTAAAGCAGTATTAAGCAGTGTTGGGTAAGTTACTTTAAATTAGTAACTTAGTTACATTACTAGTTACTTCTCTCAAAAGTAACTCAGTTACTTCAAGTTACTCGTTACTTTCAAAGTAACTAGTTACTAGGGAAAGTAACTTTGGTTTTACTCAGAATTCTCTTGTTAATGTGTTGCTTCCATAACTTTGCCAGTCTTCTAGCTTGCTTACTTGCCACAAGTGCACTGTGCCACCTACCAATAGAAAGGAAAAGATAATGTGCATATTTCCATGAGAGAAATCCCACGCCTGGACCGTCATTGACTGCTGCCATGATTCTAGCCTACGTCACAGCGTCATGTGCGCCTTTTACATCCAACACAAAAACTGCAGTCGTGGTGCTTTCGATTGTACTCAGAACTCGGAAATTCTGCCTTCTGAATAGGAAGATGTAGGTAACACCAGACTGCAGATGAGCTGCATACAGGGCTGGACTGGGACAGAAAATTGGCCCGGGCATTTTGACTAGAGACGGCCCACCATTATAGGAAAAATCATAAAGCCTTTGAATGAAAATAAACACTGTTGTGACAGTGATGTACACTGTTTTGATGGTATATATGCATCAATCTATCAATCGTTTGTTGTAAGATTCAGATAATTATTTTTTAAAAGCTAGACATTTTAAATGAGAATAAGAAAGAAAAGTATTTCTTTGTGCCCCCCTCCTGTTAATGCCCTACATGCCCCCCTGGCAACACTTTGCTAGATCCGCACCTGCACAGTTACCAGCTGTCAGCTACATAAAAAAGGATCCTGGTGTTATTTGTCTCTCAGAAACAGTTCATAACTTCCCTTCAACTCATTCATGTCACCTAAAAGGTAAACCTGTTTCTCCATCACCTGTTCAGCTCTGATGATTCAGTAAGGACATCTCCTGGTTTCATCTTCATGTTTCCCTCTCACCAGATAACCAAACCATATCATGACCAGCAGCTTTCAGCTGTGGCTCCAGCAAACATCAGCTGATACTAGAAATTAATATTAAATAAATTCTAACAACAGCTGATCAAGCTTAAACGTGCTGCTGTTGTTTAGCGCGACATCCGCTGGTTTCCTCTTTCGGCGCAAAGTGGGCGATAAACAAACAAGAGAGCCGATCAGCTGATCATTGATCAGTTTTCATGATTGAAGTAGAAACAGGGAGAGGGAGGGGGGAGAATGAGAGGAGAAGAGGCAGCTGTGCAGCAAAGACACAGAATAACTCCAGCTTTGTGTCTTTTTCATTGTAGCTGAATTACGGGACAAACTGTTCCTTTTCACCTCAATAAGAAACGCGTAATATTTTCTCTGAATACCAGACGGGACGGTTGGCAACTCTAATAACTTATGAACAAAATAAAGTTCAACATCATTAACTTCATAGCACCACCCAGCTGTATAGAAACTCCGTCATGCTAGCTAGCACGCAGTACGGAAAAAGTCAGCATAACGAAAATAAACTCCACCTAAACTTGGTTCATATCTGACCCAGAGAGACTGCAGGTCATAACTTCTTACCTGAAGTTCAGTTCACACTTGGACCGGCGGCCGCCTCGGGTCTCTTTTCCTTCTGCGTCCCTTTTCCTTCATCCACCTGCTGCCTCCACCACTTGCTAATGTTACTGAATCTGTGGAAGCTCCGCGATAGCCACCACACGAAGTAACGAGTAACGAGCCTATCTAAATCCCAGTAACGAGTAACGCGTTCCTGATTTTGGCATAATAACTAGTTACCGTGCTCGTTACCACAATAATAAGGTAGTTACTGTAACGTCCCAACACTGGTATTAAGTAATAAGATTTATCTGGTTCACAGAAATTGATATGCATGTTGACTTTTGTTTAACTGTTTTCATATGTGCAAAATGGCTAACACCAACAGTAGGCTAATATGATAAGTTAGCTAAGTTAACAGTTGTAGTTTTTGTTCTTAGAAGCTTTTAAAATGAACATGAACTGTCCTGTCATAACAGTGTATCGATTTCTTCTTTACTATAATCACCTGCTTTTTTAAAACATTAAGTGTGCAGCGTACATAATCTACAGCAGCTTTTCCACAGAAATACTGTTTACCCTTTTTAAGAAGCAGATTACACAAAACTGTAAGCCAGGATCAAAATATATTACAACATCTCTTTGGGGTGAAACAGTTTGCACTTTCATAGAAGGCTGATAGAATCTTAACAAGGTTATTCTAAAATAAGATTATCACTGCTCCAGTGGTTCCATTATCATTGCATCCTCTGTGTGTCCTTCCTTACCTCGGGATGAACTTCAGTTGGGCACTAAAGCTTGATTGAGCCTGGATGAAGCCGGTCTTTGGTAGGATCTCCATGTGCTTCCTCATGTCCTGACATACCTCAAAGGTCAGTTTCAAAGCTGTGCTGGCTCTGCCATGCAAAAAATATACATATAAATGCATAATCCATGATATATAAAACACAGGCAACAATATACAAGAATACTTTATTTTACTGACATAAAGGTAAAGATGGCAGTTCCACATTATCTGAAGCGGATCTCAGATGTTAAATACTCAGAATGGACAATTAACTGTCTGAGCGTCCACATAAGAAGCAGGGGCTGTTGTGGAGGACCACATTAAAAAGCTTATAATGAGGTAAAATTAATAATGAGCAGAAGTGAGTTGAGCTTATTGGTTCAGTCCTCCCCAACACTCCCTGTTTCTCATTAACTTTCTCAAGTTAATTGTTAAATGAAGGGTAGCTTACTTATTGTATGGCAAAGAAATGTACATATATTTTACATTTCGCCCTAAAACTTCTTCTGTTTGAGGTTAATTCATTTTTTAGTTAAAAACTAGATTCTTTTTGTTTTCACACTGTCACCAAGTGGTTGCTCAAAGGGGAATTGTTGGGTTTCTCTCTAAAAAATGGAGTGAATTGCACTGAGATATCCTGTATGATTTGGTGTCAGATGAATTAAAACTGAAGTTAAAGACTAGGCTGGGCTGATCATAATAAGGAATCCAGATTGTATTGTATAGTCTGTTAATGTAAAGTTTGTCAGGTAATTTTATAACTTCTAGTTTTTGGATTCCTCAGACAAACATGCCTCCAAATGAGTCCCTTTTTTTTTAGCTCTTTCAAGTGTAATAACCAAAAGTATGATGAAACCCTGTTTAAACCTGCTATCCTTCGAGGACTCAGCAGGTACTGAAAGAATTTGGTCTCAGTGACACCCACAGAAAATGTCTTTTATGGAGAAATCTACCCCAAATCAGTATAATTTAAGTGACCTAATTTCCACAAGCTTCAACAGATGGTTGTGCCCGTGGCTGCAAGCCTCAGTTATAGCTGAGGCTTGTGATATAAATGGCTCGTCACCTTGGGAATTTCTCCAACACATCCAATACAGCCCACACCTTCAAACAACAATGACAGTACAGACAAGCTGAAAACACAGTTTGCTGGAGGTGACACGTGTATACATAATATTTTGTTGTGCTTGCTTTCATCTTCAAAAGACACAAAGGTGAGCCTTTAGCGAGCTGTGGCCAAATAGACTGAGGGACCCGTCATTATTTGATTCTTCTATCAAAAGAACTGGCCCACTTTGAACAGGGAGGTCAGCCAGATGGTTGTTTCCCCGAGGCAAGGACTCACAGGGACACTTGGGGGATATTAAGTTGCTATCTTTATGCCAGCTAAATGACAGCCTTCAAATTGCTGGCAGAGGCATAATCATGGCTACATAACAATTTAGGGTAATTAGGGATTTTAATTAACATGGGCATTTAACTCAACCTGTCTTGATTTTACTGGCAGGCAGTAACCAGTTTATTTTTGAAGCAATGCTTAGTGGAAATCCACAGAAGTATTAATACTGTGTAATGCAGTGATATTTTAGGCAAAAAAGAAGTAAAGGTTTGCATGTTATTGCATAACAGCAACTTTAAGATGCACATGATCAATTTTAAATATGTACAACAGTTTGAAGAAGTGAAGGAAGGTCCATAACAAAACGGCATTCCCATTTTGCGTGAAAGAACTTGACGCACAGACCTAACCTCCACACTATCAAACAACATCACCAGAGTGAAGACAAAGTGAAAATAGTGTTGAATATATGACTATAGATATGATATTTCCTCTGGGTTTGGTTTAGTTTATGCAGGTGGTCTCATGCATGTGCTGTGGGTTTAACAATAATGCATTCTTTATAACAAGTTAAATAAAAATCACTGGAACTACTTGCAGTTGGATGCCTGCCTGGGCTAGTTTTAGGCAGTTACTATATAAATTAATCTAGCTAGTAACTTTTTTCACGTTCTTTCACTATATTTGACATCAGTTTCTACTCTTCAGTGCCAAAAACTTTAAGCAAATGCTAGGTTAGGCGAATGGACAAAAGAGCTCATGTCTCTTATCAAGAATAATGCAGCAAAGAGAGGCAACATAAAAACACAACCTTTTACTGCCTTAGTGATTCACAGAAGCTCCAGCAGGCTATGAAACGTCTGTAAAAAACTCCCACTGTGACCCTTTGGGGGCTCTGTAAAAATAGTCCTAAAAAGTTAAACTTTCTTTTATTAGAGCCACATAATAATGCTACTCATTACAATCATCAAGGTTTAGTGGGAATGATATCAGGTCATGTTGCAGAGAGGTTACTCATGCTGAGTCTACATAGAGTGCTGAATAACCAAGTGCCTGGACTCCGAGTGCCCACGGCTGCAGCAGTGGCTCTGCCTTTTCTTAAAAGAGACAGGTGGCTATGCTTTATACTCCACATGTACTCCAAAGCCCCATAGGAGACCAAGCCTTCATGGCAAGCGCTCTAGGCAACTGTCCCCATAATGCAGCACTGTCTCCTTTTATCCCACATAATATATATAAATAAAACTAACCTGCCAGAAGAACTGTTTTCTTTATAAGTATTTACTATATGTTGCTATTTTCACATAAAAAGTAAAGAAAAAAGGTTAACTTGATCTCATTCCTCAGGCCAAACTAAACAGGTCTCAGACTGAGACTAAGATAAGGTACAGTTGGCGCATTAGAAATATAGAAAAGGGAGAAAAATCAAGGACAGAAGGCTTTCTGAAATAAAGAAGCAGGGTGGTTGTGTTTTTGTGGCTGGGTTTGGGCAGGAACGCTCAACTCCCCATCTGGTGCCAGCAAAGGAGTATTTGAAAGTCGGGGCTGAGTGTTTGAAATATTAAAAAAGAAAACACCCTGCCAACTGTGTTCAGAGTATTCCAATCACCGGCTCACAAGCCAAAGTCAAACACTGCACATTTTAAAGCTTCCTAAAAAAAATACTTTCAATTAGTAGGAGTGATATTCCAATCACTGGCTCACAGACAAGATGGACATATTCAATTATGCTTTGTGCTTTTCTCTTAAAAAATCTGTCACAAACTTGGGAGGACTTGTGGGATATCTACTAACTACTTAAAGAAAAAAAAGTGACAAATTCCATGATGAAAGCAGCAGCTCTCCTATTGTTTTCCCCCCAAAAGCCTGCCAAGCTATTTTGTGTTCAAATTATTGTCTTGGAGGCAGAGTGACATATTGCACGGTTTGCTGGTGCAAGCATTAGCATTTTTTTTTTTAACTTTAAAAGCTGCACTTCACACTGACACTGTCATCGTCATGTTGTCACACGTGCTGGTGTGCCAGCGGACCAGATGGCAGTTGTCACAAATCCCCTACCCCCACACATGCACTACCTCCCCCACATGATGTGACACAATGACTGGCTAGGTGATGGACCTCACTGCTGCAAATGCTACTGCCCCTGGTGTATTCCTAACCTCATGTGCTCATCATAATGCATCACATCCATAATCAAAGAGGATTTACTTCTGTTCTGTGCTACAGTATCGGTCAAAGAGGACTGTGGCGATGCCATGCTTTGTGTAGGAACATTTATCCGTTAATTCATCTCTATTATATTTCATCCACGCGTTGAATTGTTAAATGTCTCAAAGCGCTACTTGGCTGTAAGCGTAGTTAGGCGGAGAGTTTGATGTTGGACTGAAAAGTAAGCGGGCCCTGTCAATTTTAAGGGATTTCCTTGAGCCGTTTTGCTGTGAAAATGTCTGTTTTGGCAGAGACTGAGTATATGAGGGAGTTTTAGTAGTGCATTCAGCAGATAAGCCAGCATGCTACATCAGCAGTCCACGCCACTTTCCAAACTCTATTTCAAGGATGTTTCTGAGCATAGCAACAAATAAAATGGGAATATGACATGCACCACTCATTTCTAGGTTGAGGGTTTCGTATATCTTGTTAAAAATATAAACTTTAAGATGCATTTCATTCCTTCAGTTAAAATAATATTCTAACAATATAGGCAACAGTTAAGAGACTTATATGGGCTGGGTGGATGAAAGGGTTATTTAGTAAAAATCATTACCCTGCTGGCCTCACTCTTGTATGTATTTTGTAAAACACTGAGGGCACAACCACTTTTTAGGATTTGGTGTTCATGAATTTACTGAAGTTATGTTGTTTTTGTAAACCCGGGCAGTGTACTTCTTTTTGCATGACTTGTTTCCTAGAAACACATGTCTACTGGCTGTGCATTAGGCAATTTTCACAGTAATACGCTGCAGTACAGAGAAAAGCACTGGTTCACATCACACTGACTTTGCACAGCTCTTACAAAGACAGCTATGTGCTTATATGTTCTCATATGCTTTTAGTGCATCCACTGACTTTCAAAAAGATAAATTCCACTTGCTTTTTTTTTTATCAGTCTGGGCATCTATTTGAAAAACGTCTAAAGAAAGAAACACAGATCTTTCCCTCTATGTATTAAATGCCACCATAATGTTAAACAAGCCTTAAGCAGTATTCTTGCATCACATACTGGAACAGAGCATAATCTGTTTCTCTGCCATATGCTGTCATGGCTATCTATATAGTCTTTCTACCAAATTAGACATTTTATTGTGATGAAGATGCTTTAACAGGCCACCTGTTGCATAATGTTGCGTTGGTTAAATGTCTACAAAAGTGGCTATTATAATAACACTCTTAACTGACATGCATATAAACATGGTACTAAGTTGTTTCATATTGCACTTTACCCAGAGACAGGTACCTTATATTGTCATATTACCATTGTATGTCTAAATCTGTCATATTATTGTTATACACTGTTCACACAGTGTTTAGGCTTTAGTCTCATGTAATTAAAATGACTTAAACTAGTATTACACACACACACACACACACACACACACACACACACACACACACACACACACACACACACACACACACACCCCAGGCTTTTATGACTGAAGGGTAAAAGCCATTGTTTATCCCACGCTGAGGTCAGCTTCACAACTCTTACACTTAACTTTTCTTGAGACTCTAGTTGTCATTGGTCATGCAGAATAGCATGCCTTGTTAGCAATACAACACATAATGCTGATGATTATTACAAAGATATGGATACAAGGGTGCTTTAGTTTTCTATAAACATTAAATGTCTCAGATACAAAACTATTTGAGATGTCCTGTACTTAACTGAACATTATTATCCTTTAAAAAAATTTATTCAGTTATGAAACTACTCTATAACATTTCCTTGTTAATTCTTACAAACTCTAAAGAGAGTGGGGCAAGTTGTAGCTAAGTTATTTTTTTTGCAAACAAAAAACAAAAAATTTGTTGGTTTTTTTGTGCTTTTTTTTTTAAATACACGTAGAACTAAGATGTAATGTAAATCTAATGAATTCTGAATTGGTCACTGTTTTAACTTCAGATGCAAATCACCTTGGAAACTAGTGATAACGAATGGTTTTATACACTTCGTTCCAATACTTAGCGTTAAAGACCACTACATTGTGTAAGCATTCAACAAATTGTAATAAACTGTCACTTGTGCATAAGAGGTTGATGTGTAGACCTTCTGAATCAAAGTAATGAGCTCCTTCTAAATGTGAAACAGCTGGACATCAGCTTGACCAGATGAGAAGGTTTACAACCATCTCAGGCTCTGGGACTTACCTGCTTTGGACAATGATGGTGTCTTGATAAAGGCGGTCAAACATGCAGATCTTTAGGTCAATGTTGGGCTGAAGTACCCATACAGGCATGCTGACTGCCACACCTCTCACATGGATGGGTATCTGTTTGAATGAGTCCTCAGTCACATGTTTAGTCGCACTAAACATATCATTTGATTCATTTAATCTATGGCTTTGTAAACTATAAATGTGTCTGCTCCCTAAGTAATTCACAAGACTAAAAACTGTTTCTTACTGGTTTGCTGGTTTTATCAGAGAATTTAAAGGAGAAGTCCAGTCTGGTCTCTCCTGGAATGGTTGGAGTGAAAATAATTTCCAGCTTGACACTTTCAAATGACCCGATCTCTCCCCCACGTACCTGAACATGGACAGACATACTGTTGATACTGCACTTCTCTTACATTAAATGTGTAGTTACACATCTTTATACTGACAAAAGTTTAGTTTTACCTGATGACACAAAGGTGTCCTATACATGAAGGAGAAAGTGAAAGCTGTGGTACAGTTATGTAACATTAAAAGGTATGCAGGCATACACTCGTGTACATACAGTGAAGGCAAACTGTCAAGGTGGTGAGAGCGTAATAAACGAAAATGAGTAATAAACCACCGATGCAGCAAGTGCCTCAGTACTGTGGCATCATGATAGTTTGATGGATAATCTGCCATTTAAGACACCAGCCTTCAACCACACAATGTGGAAATATCAGTCAAAATGACAACGATCGAGCCGAGGGCATGCAGGCGCACGCAACACACACAGTCGCAATAATAGCAGAGGGAGAGGTGATGCACCATTAGCCCCCCACCAGAGAGACGTAATGAACCCTGAAAAGTCTAGAATTTCACATGGGCCACAAGGCACACACAGCATCATTGCTAAAAACAAAACAGAGAAGCAGAGTCTTTCAACGACACACAATAGTGACAAAATGTCGACTTTCCACTCAAAAATTTTCAGAATCTGGGCAGATTTCTGGCACCTCAGCTATAAAAATGCAGTCCCTTTATGATTTGACAAGAAGAAGATTCATGCTCCAAAGAAGATGGACCATTTTTGACTGACTCACAGCCCTCACCCTTGACTCAATACTTTAATTTAATTCAGCCTGTCGCTATTAGAACAGACATGCTGACTTTCTTCCTACAAGACTATCCTCAAGTCTTGTTCTATCTTCCTAAGAGCAGTCAAATATTCAATATGTTGTTTACTGAATCTCAAAAAACAACATTTTGAAAAACTATTTCATAGAATAGCTGAGGGCTTTTTCTATGAAACCACAGAAACACCAAAGCTAGATTACATAACAGTACTACTACTAGCAACACTTGTATACCAGACTATAAATATTAATGTATAGCTGTAACTAGCCCAGGCAAAATGTGTTTCAGCACAAAAGACCGGGCTTCTTGCAACCTCGTAATGAGCTTTTGGGGTATGACTTTGCAAAACTCTGTATAGTTACCTTACTTAACAGAAGTCTATGCATTTTCCAGTCTATGCTATTTCTGGATATTTAATAGATAAAAGAATACTTTAGAACAGCGGTCCCCAATCCCAGTCCATGAGGGCCGGTGTCCCTGCAGGTTTAAGATCTCACCCTGGGTCAACACACCTGAATCACATGATTAGTTCATTACCAGGCCTCTGGAGAACTTCAAGACATGTTGAGAAGGTAATTTATCCATTTAAATCGGCTGTGATGGATCAAGGACACATCTAAAACCTGCAGGGACACCGGCCCTCGTGGACTGGGATTGGGGACCCCTGCTTTAGAATAATGGGTCCTGATGATTTTTAAAGGTTAAAAGCTCTTTGATGTTCATACTGTCTAACATTACTACTGTGTTACATCAGATGTATAAACAAGAGCAGCTAGGGCTACAACTTGGCTTTAAACATTACTCATCAATCTAAAAACAGTAGCATTAACATAGGAAATGAGCAAGTTTTTGAAGTAGGACTGAAAACTTACATCTCTTAGTTTTATGTCGCTGGAGTCTGAGGGGGTCTGGTCTGTCTGAGTGTCCAAATCAGATGAAAGACAAGCCCCAGGAACAGTTTTCACACCCTCTGACACTGCCATACACACAGATAAAAGTCACAAATGCAAGTCATCTCAAAGTTTTATTGTTGAGCAGTTACTCTAAGTGGGCACCTTGTACAGACTAACACTAAAACAATAATGGTAAACCTGTAATTGGTTGATGGAAGAGCAGAGTAATAAGTGATAAGTAAGAAGAAGTAATACTTGGCCTCATTGTAGCAGTATTTTTAGTGTACGCTGGAGGAAAATTATAAATATCATTTAAATCCAGACAAATAGGCCCTCTGACAAATAACACTGTTTTTCCTCTTGGACACGTGTGGAACATTTTTATACCAATCTGCAATCTGACCTTTATTTACTAATCTGTGACACAGAAAACATATTGGACAAAATGTACTACAGTCAGCTTCAGAAAGGAACATCAACAGCCTCAAAATTGGTCCAACATCCAAGAGCCTTTCTCGACAATAGAGATAAAATAAAGAAACAGAGTCGGAGCCACTTCAACACAGAATTTCCAAAGCCAGCAGAGCAGAGGCAAAAGACTGAGCAGCTTATCAAAGCATCAGCAGCAGGAAGTGCTGAGTGCAGTGATGTAGACTTCAGATCCGCGAGAACACGAAAGAGAAGATGCCTTGTTGCCACCAGCTGTAAGAGCAAGGTGAACCCTCCGCTTTGTGTGTGTGTGTTCTTTTATTTTCGTTCTTACAAGGACTCAATGTCCTAACAGGAATAGAGAGACAGAGGAAAAAAGAAATCATCTACCACGAGGAGATGTTGTCAGTCCTCATTTTCCTTCCAGAGACTGTTTCAGGGTAACACTGTCTCTCTGTCTCCCACATATTATAATCACTCACCAAGGTGGTGCTGTGTTTGCACAGCATGCTAATGACAGAATACAATATACTGATTTAACCTTGTTCACCATCTTAGTTTAGCGCGTTAGCATGCTAATACCTGGCGAAAACAGTACTAAATACAAATTAGCCTAACTCTGTGGCTAATAATCAGAGTCAGAATACTTTGCATGTAAGGACAGAGATCATAAACAAATGCATTAGACAAAAAAAATGAGCTGATTATAACACTAGGGGAAGTTTTATCACCAAAAAGCAGGACTAGAGCACAAATTAACCAAATTAACTAAAACCATTACTTTACTCAAAGAATCAAAAACTGCTATTCTGGTATTTTAGCATGTCCTGTGCTTATCATGAGGAAAACACACTGACAATCATTTGGGAAAAGAAAGACAGAGTGCCCAGTTTTGAATTCATGCTATTATGTATTGTAGTTTAGATTTCAGTTTTTCTAGTTCAGGACACAAACTGTGATGGATAATCATGTCATGTGTGTGTCCATATTTTACCTGATTGTTCTTGCTGTTCTCCTGCAGAGAGCTCCCGACTCTGTAGCTTTGATTGGACATCTTCAGCATCAATGGATTCAGGGCTGTTCTGGTTGTTAGTTGCTGTGTTTTGACTGGATGCCTTTTTTCAGACAAACAAACAGGCAAATATATTCATTTATTTTTACCCATAATATCTGGTATGGGCATCCTGAAACAGAAGCTTTGGAATTCTCTCATGTGAAAATAATGAATGCCAATTTTTTTCAGTGGTTTCAAAATCTTTTGCTTGTTCAATCTACAGACAAAATAGCAGTATAATGTATATGGAAAAAAAGCAGGAACAATTTACTTTTTTATTAGCTATATTGGAGTTCCTCCTTTAATGTATCCAAGAAACATTAGCTCTTACAGTCCACATAAACAGCTGACCTCATATGTGTTGGTAGAGACCTGTGGTGGCATCTGGACGTAGCTCGTTTCTGGACTGAGACATGTGGAGCTGTCCAGGCTGAAATGCGTGGCCAGTGCACCCTTGTTGGTCAGTGTGATGGTCCGTGAAATAGTCTGGCCCACAACGTGCGAACCAAAGTCAATAAACTGGCTGTCAACCTTCAGCTAGAGAAAGAGTATAGTCACATCCTGTAATTAGCAATGTCAGTGAACAGCTGCCAGGCAAAGTACATAGTTTTACATACATTAATTCACAGAAAGCTGATTAAATAAGACAGTGAGCAAAAATAAAAAGGCAGTGTTTTTTTCTGTGGTGTGACCATGCAGTGTGATTGGTTTAGCCACAAATTCATTTCCCTAAATAATTATTAGAGCTAAATTTATAAGGGTAAAAAGCTACAGCAAGACTGGGCAAGAAATTCACATCACAAAATACACACAAGACGCAAGCTTATGAAATCAGAATTAGCAGTTATCTGTAATTACCAAAAACTTTGGCTATAGCTCACTACTCACAATACATTTCTTTACAGTGCATCTGATGGGCACAAAGAAGGGACCCAGAGCTGATGCAAACTGGAGCTCTCCTTCCAAGTCCTCGTTGATCTGCAGAGATTAGATAATGATTTTGTGGTAAGCAAAAACAAAGGCTTCATGTTTGATCAAGCGGCAGAAAATTTGATGCTAAAACAAAGAGTGGGGCAGTGGAGGAGTTGTATGAGTTGTTTGCTGCAAAGGATGTGGAACCAAATCTTAAATAAGATGACTCATCTTGAAGGAAGAACACAACATTTTAAGAAAGACACTTACAGAGAACACTTTTGCAGGAAAGATGATAGGATAATTAACAACCTCACGCCATTACGTGTATGGCAAATTGGGAAGAAGCTACTTTGGCCAGCAAAAAATATCCACCTGCTGTAAAAGACTCATTATTTAGCATGTTGTGTTTAAGTTATTCCATGTGATAAAACAGGGAAGATACCACACAATTAATCTTCAGAGAAATACTTAATTTCATCCCTATTATTGAGTATTTGTACAGTAAGTATGATTTCAAAAGTTAAAAACAAACAACAGGTGATAACCACTGAAATAGTTTTTGATGAAAATAAAGATTAAAGAAAAAAAATAAGTATAGATGTTTAAAGGCAGTGGTGATGCTACAAACCATTGGCTGGAAAATAGCCTGCATGTCAAATGACATCCCGGTGGATAACAAAGTAGGAGGCTGGAAGCTGAAACACAAATGCCAGAAAGTTGAAGATTATTTTCATTTCTTGATCACAGCTTAAAAAGTGAGTCACATTACAACATGATATTGGATATTACTGTTTAATGCAAAGCTCTGGTAGGGGTATAAAGAAGTGTATGATTAGCAACAAAATTTAAAGTATAACAGCATTTGCCTTGAAGGTAAAAACCCTACAATGATACAGAGGATACCCCAACAATCAAATGACTCCCTTTGAGCAAGGACTTGGCAACAGTGAGAGAGAAAAACTCCCTTTTAACAGGAAGAAACCTCCAGCAGAACAAGGCTCAGGTAGGGGCAGCCATCTGTTGTGACTGGCTGAGTATGACAGCAATAATATAGTACAGCAAATTTGCTGTTTTCAACAAACAATTAGCAGCTCTAAATAAAATACTAAACTATAATGAATAAGCTAATGTCAAAAGTAAACCTGATGCTAACTTGACAAGCCAAAGAAAACAAAACAAAAACAAAACAAAAATCTACTATTCTATATGAAAGCCATGTAAAGTTGAATCCATACTTAGACAAAATATAGCAGTTAATCCTTATTATATTGCAGGGGAAATCATACAAGTAAGTAAAAATTCTATTTCCAAATAAGAAAACAAACATGAGGACTGTGAGCTATTTCAAACCAACATGTGTATCTCACAGCACATGTTCGCACAAACCCTAATGCTGCCCCGAGGAGCTTGATAACTTGCTGCCCTTTGAGAGACACGAGAAGAGGCCCGATCAATATAAATATAGCAGGCAGGCGGCCAGGGAAGCAAGGCGAATTCTCAAAATTCAATAAATAAACAAGAAGTTGGAACCGCGCAACTATGAGCATAATTAGGAGTCAGCTACAGTTACAGAATATATACCAGATCCTAAACGAACTGTTGTTGGGCTTGAAAAATACTATGATCCTGTTGCTGTGATAGTAAACTTTAATCTACATTTAAAGACGTAGCTGGATTTTTGTTTGTAGATGAGAGCACCTTGGTGCCAAGTTAACGTCTTTGTCTGAAAAGAGCTGAGTCTCTGAAGAGATTCATACAAGTTTTTCTCGCTCTGCCTCACATCCATTTTTTTAAGCTCTGTTAAAAAGCAGAATGAACATTACAGCTTTCTTTCTGTTGACACGAGGAATACAGACCCAAAACAATAAGAAAAGAATATGGAAATAAGCTTATGTTGAGCTTCTAGTTTTTATAGCAAGTTTCATGTGCCGTTACTGTTTTGTTTTTGTAGAATATGTTCATGTTGTTTTGGTTGTTGCATTGCTTCGTGAATAAGAAATATAAGCATTCAAGCCCTTCAGCTTCTATTTGATGAACTAAAAAGAGAACATCTGTGTTTTTGTTTGTAGGATTGACTGTCTCACACGCACACACGTCAAAAATACTACACACAAAAAAACACAGTTAAACGGCAAACAACCTATAACCACAGTATAATAATGTGCACTATCATCAACTCCAGTGAGCAAAGGGACATTCAGTTTAGCTTAAGGCAGTTGTTTGAAGTTGTTGGTCCAGTTGCCAGGTAAAAAACTTGGAGCAGCCTGGCTGAAGCTGCCATCCAGCTCACCACTGTGATCTGGAAATCTATGAAAGAACTCCACCTGAGTAAATCTGGTAGTAAATGTCACATTGCACATTCATCTTTTTTTCCCTGGTCAGATTTCCTACTTTATTGGTGCTATTCTTCCTAGCTTCAAGACAGCTGGTATGAAGGGATATGAAGGAAAATAGAACAGTTCACTTGGGATTAAATTCTGAATGAGGCAGTCTTTGAAAAAGCCTGCTACAGCCCTATATAAATCGCTTCAAATGAGGCCATACTGTACAGTTTTTATCCTTTAATATCTACTGAAGAGGACTGAGGTGGTGAAGCTTTGTTATACAGTAGTACTGACTATACTCTCGGTTAAATTATACATTCTTGATTTGATTTGATTGGTAATTTATTTCAACATGTGAACAATATACAAGTACATTTAGAAAAGAAATAAGAGAGAAAAAAAATTCTTGTCCTCATTGGCTTCTACTATAGTAAATCAATAAGGAGTCTCTGTCCATAATTCAGTTCAGCATAGCTAAAACACCCTCATAGTCACACTCAACCACTTCTGAAAGCAATTTACTGAGAAGCATGAAAACTCTGTCTCATGTGTGTCAATAGTACTTGAATAATCTTTCTCTCGTGCTAATTGTTCTGAAGTGAGATCTGGTTCTCTTTATATCAGGTGGCTACAAAGTACAATAACGCACAAATCTTTTCACAGTTTTAGACAACATATAAAAGCTGCAACTTTTTAAGGCTGACTAAATCTTTAGGCAGGTTATACTTTTTTAATCTATCAAAAACCAAAGTGAAGCTGCTTGAAAAGACACTCAGGCAGATGGCTGAAATAAATATGGACCTGTCACAGAACTTAAGTCTAACTGCAGCGCTGACTGGTGCTCATATTTGGATGTTTTTAAACGGACAGACACAGACAGACTACCAAGAGGGCGATTAATAAAACAACAGACTCAGTTAAGTGCAGTGTGGTTTTCTCATGTCAGTCACTGAAATGAACTTTGACAGTTTTCAGGCAGTTGAGAAGACGAAACTAACTTTGTCAACTTGATGGTTTCAATTGGATACAAGCATAATACATAAGGCTGTCTAAGGATCTTCAATTATACAGTGTGAAAAAATCTTTTACAGAAATCAAACGGGTGATAGAGCCCTTTAGAAGAGCAGGTGAAACTCGAAGTTTGAGTTTAAATATAAGAAAGACTCCACGTTAATGTTCGACTGACACTGACGGCATTCTATAAACGTTGTTCTGGCATACAAACGTTTAAGCGTCCTTGGAAGATAAAACCTACTGACTTTTGTGACTTTTCACACCCATTGTCACCATACATTTGGCATTCATGGGTGACAGTGGGTGTAGGACTAGTTTTTGCTTCCGAGTCTGGATAAACTGTCCCCAGAACCATTGGATGATTTTCCATTAAGTCCACAGACATTTTTTGTCACAGCAGGACGTCTCTAATGAGTTGGCTCTCCGATTCAGTAACTTTTCCAGTGCCATCCCCAGGCCACAATTAAATACTATGACCAAAAAAAACCTTAACTTCTGCAAATTAGACATTTCTACTACTTGCTTGCTTACCATCAGCAGGTTAGTTTAGACCTTATTAGTATTTGCTCAAAGGTAAGTACTGCTGACTATGCACAGGTCTTAGAACCGCAGCTGCTCCTATACATGCATATACTGTGTGTGTAAAAGACAGAAAACTAGGCTAAAGTAAAAATATGCTTTCGGTAGCCTGCGTTGACAGCAGGACTGATTAATTACTCGTTAACAGGATTCTATGTTAGTCTTGCTGTGTTGTGTCTCAGGCTGCAGCCTGTTAGCGAGTGTTACCCATATGGAAAAGATATATATAAATCTTATAAAGTTTGCATCTGTCTTGTGTGAAACTTGTATGAAAAGCATACAAGAGTGAAAACAGATATAAGATCCCTTGAAAAATTATATAAATGAAATTCTTATGTTTTTGGATACTTACTAAAACAATATATGAAAGTAATGAGAAAGTGGCCACTTTCATGAGTAAATCATATAAGCCTTACATGATTCACTATATGAAGTAGGTCACATCTTATGCAAGTCTTTTATAAGTTTCTTTTCCATATGGGTAATGTCAGTCATATGCGTTATGTTGAGAGCTACTGTTAAATGCAAATATAGTAACAAAAAACAAATGAAATCAAACCGAAGCCACAAAGGACCATATTTTATAGAAACAAAATGCAAGAGAATAACACTGAATACACCAAACATATCACATCTATTAAGTAAAGTTCATTTATTAAGGGCTTTTCTCAGACAGCCAGGATTTTTTTTTCTTGGATCATCTTTTTTTTGTTTCTTAGAAAATGTGAATAAAATTTAAGCCTGGATGGACCAGGACTGCGCTGAATTTGATCTTACTGCGGTAGGATCCTATTTTTCCTGTGTAATAACTTTCCCTCTCACTCTGAATGATAGCTCTGATTGTATGCTGCTGTATGATAATAGGCACAAGAGAAAAATTAAGGCTAATGTTTCAATGCATGGGAAAGCCCAATTTGGCTCATCTGGACTTTCTCATATTTTGTTTTGTTTTTTTTGGTTTTTCCACAGAAGATAGAAGACAAAGATGCACATGTGCCTCCTAAACAGCATGAAAGCAAACTTTGCTTCAGAAAAAAGGAGAGAACAAGACAACAAGCAAACAAGACAAAAGCATAATATACAGTTAAACAATAGTACAGTTAAATCCATTACAATGCAGTGTAAATGAGACTTCAGGTTTTTAAAAACAGTTTGAGTCTAAATTGGGGGAAAAAAAAGGTCAAATGACATATAAAGCAGTACTTTTTGATCTGGTTATTAATTAGCAGTGCAAGTGATAATGTTGTCTCTGTATTTATGGCAGTTCTTGATTTAAATAGACCAAATTTCAGTTTAGGTTTGATATGGTTTTCAGTGTTTTCATCAGATTGGGTTTATCAGGATTGAGGAAATCTCGACATTAAATGTAATTGCAGTTGGGCTTAAAGGGTCCTCTTTTACTTTGTCACCACTGTGAATAGTTTTGTCAGTAACAAACTTCCAAACGACTGAACCAAATGAAACAAACCGTACGTGTGATCACACCCTCAGTATCTGCTGAGTACCACCATTTCTACGACAGTCCACGGCTTTCTCTCACAACTGATCTCAGGAACATACACGCCACAGAGGGGTGTCTTCCTCTAAGCCAGTCATTTGCAGTAACATGCTAGGATGTGGCACTAACTGCAAAAACACAACTTCTATGCACTGGCTTTTCACCAAATGTGGCAAGCCCAGGCTGTTGTGGTTTTTGCACCAGTAGTGAAAAGATACAGCAGAGCCCATTGTGGCACAAATGCACCTACGCTGGGCAGGGGGTGTCGAGGGAAACGAAGCCAATTTTAGAAATTCAGGGGGCGTACAGGGAACCATGGGCTGGTGTGAAAAAGTCTAGTGTGTTCCTGGTTCCTGGTTCTCTCTCTAGCTGTGCTAATGTTTTTAGCTGAGTGAGCCATGATGATTTTTCAGTTGTCACGACTGATCTCAATACTGTGTGGTTTCATGTGTGAATAATTACACACAACAGGCACTGAAAAATACAGGGAGGGTGTATAACAGGTGCATTCATTCGTCAGGATGTATGAGCGTGACTCAGTTTGTAAAACCGAGGATTTCTGACACCACTTAGCATTTTTTTTCTAGGCTGTTTTGCTTATGATCCTGGTGCAGTTTGTGATTCTGATAAATACAGTGACAGGGTGCTTACAATTTACAGTAGTACCATGTAAACTTGATATTAAATTTAACGATCATTCCAACCATTTGATATCACTACTGTGACTGCAGTATGATGTAACCAACAGTGCTGTAGTAAAATTTTTATTATAATGTCATAAAAACTAAGACAAGAACATTTTTTTGTTGGTGGCGCTTTAAGCAGTAGACGGGGGTCAGCACGGACACCCTGACTGCTCCGTAGCTATACAGCCCATAGACAACAAATTGTGATGCACTGTCTATTCTGACACTTCTCTATCAGAACCACCGTGAACTTCAGTAGCTTGTCTGTTAGATCGGACCACACGAGCCCACTCCCCTCTCATGACCCTGTCACTGACTCACCACTGTTTCTTCCTTGGACCACTTTTGTTAGATACTGAGCACTGCAGTGCAGAAACACCCCACAAGAGTAGTTTTAGAGATGCTCTGACCCAGTCATTTATCCAGTACAATTCCTGCTTCTAACACATCAACTTTGAGGACAAAGTGTTCATTTGCTGGACAAAATATATTTCACCAAATAATAGGTGCCATGATGAAGAGATGATCAGTGTTACTTACGTTACCTGTCAGTGGTGATAATGTTACGGATGATCAGTGTATGATAACATTTATGTCTTCACAGGTAAGGTACCTTTTGAGCATGTATCATTAAATTGCCAGAGAGAAAGTAATCTAATAATAATAATGCATTTTATTCCTGAATTGTAGGTTTAGGGTTAACATTTGAATGAATGAATTCGTACAGAGCCTCACTCCAAGTATTTTTATTGTTTTGCTGAAACTCTGGCCATGATATACTTTTACTCACTTTCTACCCCGTTGCCTACAAATCCCAAATATAATGTAAACTTATTTTATTTAGTTGAATTTTTTAAATATAGTTTTGTAAAGAGCATTTACATTTTTCTAATTCAAAGATTCAAAGATTATTTTGCAAACACCAACCATCAACTCGTGATCCAGGGCTTTCCGAGTATGTAACACAGGTTTGGACCTTATAACCACATAGCATTCTTCTATTTGTAAAACCACAAAAACAACACCAAACAGCTGTGAAGTAACTGCTATTTTTTAAACCTTGAGAGCTCATATTATTATTGCTCTGCATATGCCTGAATACGGTTTCCTCACTTTATACAATAGGTTGCTATGCGGATTGCCTACCATCTGGTTATTTCAGATATTCAGCTGTCTTCCTGTAACAAATTTAATGAGGCATCAAGTGATTAAAATGTCCAGGATTTGGGGGATGGTCATCCAACAGCATGACATGTAGTATCATGATGGTTAATGGGAGGTTAGCCACAATGAGTAATAGAGCATATCAGACCTTGTAAGGCTGTATTAACAGAAAGCCTGAATGTACTGAATTGACTAGAGCTTTGTGTTACAATTTATGAATTCAAAATTTTCACACATTCTTATTTTTATTTTGTTGTGATTAAAATGAACGAAAAGCAGGCGCAGCGTTTATTATTTTAGTGCTGTAGAACTAATCTGATGTCTGCAAATGTGAAGCTAATGTGAAACTATAATATGTGCACCTACAAGTAAAATCAATAAAATCAAAGAGACGACCAACTTTACTTCTCTCAAATAAAAGGAAGATACTAGAAAAGAATTGAGTGTTATGCGTTGTATACAGTATGCGTGCATTTACCCATTTGGTATTTAAGTGCATTTTGTACATGTGAGTTTGCAATTGAGAACTCGCATGTAGAAGGTGATACGTTCAGACAAGTGGTCCTGCACTAAAGCTCGAGAACGGCATCGGTAGTGTTCAAGCTGACCCTGCTGTAGCCTGCGAGACTCTTCAACTCAGTCAGGCAGAAAGAAAAGAGATGAAGAAACCACATCAAGCCATGGGAGAGTTGATGGGAAAGTGATACACAGTGAGTGACCTGGAGAACAATGCATCTCTGCTCGGCCTGTGGGCTGCTGGCATGCTGATAGAGAGGAGATAGAAGAGACATGGACTGACTCATGTAGCTGAGCCTCGTAAGAGGAGCTGTGAGCGTGGTGATCCAAGCTGGCATCCATATGTGGGAGGATAGGCTTTTCTTTCACGACCACTCCACATCATATTTAAAAAAATGACAAGAAGTGGTTGCTAAATGGTGATGCACGACCAGATGTTTCAATGTGACAACTGAAGCGGTTTAATACATATGGGAGTTTATCACAACAGACCTTTAATGTTTGATTTCTGGAATTTTATCCGTTTCTGGTGCCACACTATCAGATGTCTGAAACCAGATTTCCCGACCACTTCAATACTTTAACCCGCAAACGAGCACAACCATGAAGCAACACCGCTGCGTTAATGCAGTCCCCCCGGTGTCTCTCTCATCTCTATGAGATAAATATATCTATTTTGTCCTCAGCTGGGATTCAGTAGGGGTTCTAGTGGGCTGCTTGATGCTATGCTATGTTGGTTTTCCCTTCAGAGACATTTACTTTGTCTGTCATGATTCGTAGAACTGGAGTAATTGGCTCTTCCTGAATGAACCTCAATATGGTAAAATTGCCTATTGAGAATTTTAGAAAGATTTTCCTAAAATTGTTGCCTAAAACAAATACTTTCGGTCTTTCTTTGTTTACTGTTATAGCTGTTATAATTAATAAAACACAAAACTTACTTGATGGTGAAAAAGTTCTTCAAGTGAGGGGAGACCCCGAGAAACTTGCAGTTAATAACTGCGTAGCTGATATTAGTCAGGACAATTTTCTTCTTGTACATTTTTCCCACATCAAAGTCCTAAAATAGACCAAAACATTTAATATAATAATTCAGTTCAGTTCAGTTTTACTTATATAGTGCCAAATCACAACAGCAGTTACCTTATAGCACTTTATATTTTAAGGTAAAGATTCTACAATAAAATAAAGACATACATTTTTGTGTTTTGGGACTGAAAAAAACCCTCATACCTTGAAGAGGATGACCTCTGGTTTACTAATGAATGGAGGCCCTTTTAACTCTTTTCCACGATTTCTTTTAGCAGTCATATTGAGCTTTCCACTCGCTATTGGAGGTTTTTCTTGCCCCAGTTGTGTTTGCACCAGTGTAGTATTCTCATTGGGCATTTTCTGTAACCACACAAGCAAAGCAACAACTGCTAATTAGTAATAATCTACTATAAGATACTCAAAGATTGCAGCCAAATGGATCCACAGTACAAAAAAAAAGAAAAAAAAAGAAAAGGGAGATCATTTTTCTGGAGTATAATTTCTTATAATTTAAACCCAGAGTCGTCCTTCATTTCTCTGCCATGTAGAAAAACTGGGAAACTACTGTTGAAATTGCTCTTCTTTTTCTTATTTTAAATTATCTGAAGGATTAAATGTGGAGTTAAACTCATTTACACCAACAGATAGAGGAGTTTCATGGTCCCGTCCACTTGTAATATGTAAAATGAGTTTGACATTCCTGGAATAGAACATGTAGGAGTTTGTATGGTGATAAAACAACAGGTAACTTCATCATCCAAAAAGTTTTCTTAAGGTGTTTTTGTTATTCAATAGTTGGAAGTTTAAATCATTTTTAGGCTTGGTCTAACACATCCAACATACTGTATAGCGAACAGGTTTTTCTAGTGTCAGAAATTAACTTGGGCACGAGGTTATTTTAAAATACCTTCACCTTAGGGCACAGGCATGTACACAGCACTCTGGCTCCAGTTTCTCTTGCCATCAAAAACATGCTAAGTTAATTCTCCTGTCACTGTGCCCTTGACCATATGCTTACAGCTGGAGCACTGGCTGCAGAGACACTGCCCACTGCTCCTAGTAAGGATGGATTAAATGGAGGGAATGAGTTGCTCTGTCAGGATTAATAAAGGATATCTAACCAAAACTTGATTTTCAAGAGTCATACTTACTACATGTTATCACAGTTGTCTAAAAATAGTGTGTGAGCTTTATGTCATAAATAATACCCTTCTCCCCCAACCACCTGACACTGAATTAGATAATTGGTAGAAAACGGATAGATATCATTATGGATCAAGATAGTGGATTTGATACTAGTGGTATTGGTGTGGTTTACAAGGCTGCCTTATTCAGCGTTTTGTATTTTTAGTCTGTCCATGCTTTATTCTGCACTGTAGAGCGCTTTTATAACTTTGTTACAAAGTGACGTGTTGACATTTAATCACTGTTCTCCCCCTCATGAATCATCTCATTAGCTTTATTGTATCGCTCTGCTCTGCTGTTGTTCTGGCTGTGTTGAAAAGTACCCTTTGATGAGGGCGTCAGTCTGATCTGTATTTTAGGAGGAGAGATCACTTCCACTTGGCTTGTCACTCGCTCAGACCTCTGAGCTGCAATGCTACGCTCGCTCTGGGCTCACAGGCACTGGCACAATGAGAAGTGATGTCCGTCGCCCCACATTTCAAGAGCGCTGGGGCTCCAGATTAGACACAGAGGCTTCTCATCTTCATGTCAGTGAGCTAGTGTAGAAACTTTCACCTTTAACGTCAACTCCCATGGAACGATCTCAAAATTGTCACTGTAGGCCAATGCTGATATGATCAACACAACTCAGTTTGACTTATTTTATATATATATTGAAATAAATGATCTCTATATTAAAATATTAGCTAAGCTGTAGTTGTTGTCTAGAGTATGATGGATGGAAAGCCTTGCAATTGCTTATGTACAAATGGGAAAAAATTGGCTAGCTGTCGATTTCTAAAATGTAAACAGTGCTCTCTTTAATGTGACTAATCACATTAATGCTTTCAGAATCATTATTAATGCCAAATAAATAACACAAGTTTTCAAAAACAGAGCTCTACCTTGTTCCCTCAGCACTGAGGCCTGACTGCTGACTCTTTGTACAGAGTTTATGTGTATGTGTATGGCGTCTCTTTTCACCTGCCTGAAACAAGCTTCACTGTGACCATGCTGAGTTATTCCCATTCCAGTCTAATGCATATGCTCCAACCAGCAGGAGTCTCGAGTGCAATCTTTAGGATATTAATGTGCCTGCTGAATGGTACGTGATTTATGGCCATTTAAATTTAGCAGGTTGCATAGGTTTGCTTTCGGTCGGCTGTTGTTTTAGTCAACCTTGATGTGTTGGTCCCACAGTCCGGAGAATTCAGGCTCAGCCAGGCTGTCAGTAGGGATCTGGTGATTCACTTTCTCCTCGTTTTCCTCAGTCCCCTCCAGGTCCTCAACATCAGAGCAAGCTGACGATGACGAGGAGCTGCTGGTGTCACTGAAATCTCTGAACTGTTGGACAAATACAAACACACACGAACGATTCATTATAAATTGCTCAAAATGCCCTCCAAGCAATCATTTCATAGTAGGCATCTCAGATCTTAGATTCCCCCTCACGATTGTGGCTTTCTCCTCAGCAGCTGATGGGGGAACAGAATCCAGGTAGTACGGGAGCTTCTCACTTGCCCTCCTCAGAGATAGGAACTTCTCAGTGGCTGAGGGTTTGGGCAGTAGCAGTGCCGGCTTCCTCTGCCTCCTATTCGTCAGCTGTTCTTCCTGAAGGATTTTTGAAACAATCTCCACTCTTTTTGACTTCTGGCTCTCCTGAAATTCCCTGAGAAGGGTAAATCGACAACACTGCATTATCCTGAAATGGGGTCATGCATTCCTCAGCACACAGTGAGAGAAGACACCCACACGTTGCTGCATGGAGTGGGAGTGGAGGACATGCGTGTGGGAGAGGAGAGGATAGGAGAGGATAGGAGAGGAGAGTAGAGGAGAGGACATACCCTTCTTTACGCTTTGTTTCCTGCTGTTGTTTCTGCTGGTACATATGTTTCATACTGTTGATTCCTTGGGCCTGCAGGGATTCTCTCAGTTGTCTTTGTAGCTGCTCCTTCTTCTGGGCATTAGCTCTGGCTCTGCTTTGCTGGACCTGTAAATTCTCCTAAGATAAGATAAGATAAGATAAGATAGAACTTTATTAATCCCTCGGGTGGGTTCCTCTGGGAAATTTGATTTCCAAAAGGATTTCCTAAGGAAACAACGGCAGATTAATAAAGCTATACTCGACCACATGCAGCTTTAAGACTGAACTGACTGTTTGAAGGCAGAGACATCAGACATAGAGACATTTTCTCTTTAGACACACAATTTGCCTTGAATCATATATTTAATCAGAAAATACAGCAATAAACAAAAACAAAGCATTGTCAACAGTACATATCCACACACAAGTCAAAGTGAGCCTAGTTGGATCACTATGACTTTATAGCTTCATTGCTAAATAATTCATAATGCAAATGTTAATTTAGGCACTTAAAATGATGTTATAGTAACCAAAAAGCACAGTAGTGATATAAAAAAATAATAACATATAGGCTTTTTTATCTCATCATTAATGAAACAACCACAATGTTATGCTGTTCTTTTGCTTACTTGGGTTGCTTCTATGTTCGTTTTCAATGACTTTACAGCCTGTAACCTCTTTTCCAGTAACTCTTGGTTCTGCCGCTCCCTCTCAGCCTCCTGCTGATTCATCCTGAATGAAATGGGGACACCAACTAAGCACGCAAAATGTCAAATACAGCACAGAGAGAAAACAGCAAATGTGCTATTATTGCCTGGCATTAAAAACCCAAGGTTGAGCCAAATTTACACTGGTGACATCGTAAGTAGTACAAAAGGACAGAATTCAAGTCAACTTATAGGTGGAATAAACTTGGAAGTAACAGCAAATATTTTCAGATTATCTTCAGCCACAGACAAATACATATTTGGTAAGCATACATACAATTGTATGTGTAGTTTTTACAACCTTTAATAAAATTGTGTGTTCATAATGTATAAATGGGATTTCCACAAGGTCAACTATTGGCTTATTGGAGTTTTTATAGTTTTTGGCTTTCTAGGCACCAGCTATTTCTGTGTAGAATTTGTTTCCATTAACAAATAAAAAAATATATACAATAGGACCTATGATGGTCTCACTACATTTCCACAATGGGTTCAATTGAAGTGTAGATTGTGCTAAAATTTACATTTGTGAAATATCATGCAAAATTATTATACACCAGAACAGACTCTAATGGCTTGAGTAATTAGTGATTTTTAGAAAAATCAAGATTTGAATAGATTTTTTGTCTTCTCAGATCACTTTCAGCTAGATCAATGATGTATAAATCTGAGCTCTTTCAAGTGTCATGTCTACTCTGCTTGTAATGCAATTTGCCAGGATGTGCGAACGATCAATAGGACGTGCCAGCTCTCCAATGAGTCCTCTGAGATAATTCACATCTTTGTTTTACCCCTCTGACACTGTTTATTGGTTTGAAAGCTGATTACCTTTTTACAGTCTGTTTCAAGTACTTGGCAGCTATTTTGCGGCTCTCTCGGCCCTCTTCGATTTTCCTCTGACATTCAGTCTTCTCTTTCTTTAGCATGGCTGCCTGTTTACTATCAGAAGAGAATCACAGACACTTACACACAGAGTGTTATCATCACATGGCTATTTTTGGCTTGTGATAGAGGCTTCTCACGAAAATAATCACATGCTTTAAATATAATGGATACACAGGAACAAAATGTGCCTACAAGAGTCATTTCACTCAGGTTATGTGCAACACATCACTCTTAGTTATTCACATAATGACAAATCGTTTTGAATTTTCTATGCATAATAAGGACAACAAATCAGGGGAAAAAGCAAAGCTTTTAGGAGGGTAAATATGGCTGTTTTCCATACTCCCTCAGATTCTTCATCTTGAGTTGCAGGTTTTGGCTGGCTTCCCTCTCCTGCTGCAGCCTCGTTGCTGCCTTCTGGGCTTTAAGAACCTGGAAGAGCTGCTCCTCTTCCTGCACCTCCTGCCGGAGCAAGGAGCATCTGCCAAGCTCAACTTCCACCTCACTCAGCTCCAGTCTGAGGAGCAAGGACAAATGCATGCAGATGGAATAAAATGAATGGGAGAACTCTAAAAACACTAAGTATCTGTAGAGTCAATACGATGAATATTACCACCTCAATATCAGCCAGCTGTCAGCCCTGAAAACACATGCAATTAAAAATCCCCAATCCCTCTACTTTAAACTATAAAAAAGCCCTTTTCTTTCAATGGCAGTTTCACCAAGAGGTGACACTTTTCATACAAAGTTTTGACTTTAACAGTTTCACACTGTTCTGAGACATTTCATACTGACATTTTTAACTGACTGAAATACTCTCATTACAAGCTGTATGCTTATAGTCAGCTTGACTACGCAGAGATTTGCACTGCACTGTGAAACACCCAAACTATTCCTATTCTATCCTATTTCTAAACTGTTTTTTTTTTTTATCTTATAAATGTCGTTCAAATAAGAGGCCAGCTTAAATCTGGCTGTATGATTGTTTAAAAAGCTTCTAAACCTGCACTGAAACCATTACAGTATTTTATTTCCCTCTAGAAAAACCCACACTTCCTAACAGCAGAATGAGAAAGGATTCCTTACAGATTTTTTACACAGCAAAATTGTTTACAGCCTTTATTACTGTATTGAGTAACCAGGCTTTATGACTAAAAAGTGCACAAAAAAACCACAAGGGGCTGCAGAGCTGTGGGTGTGTTTTCTAGGATACCACTGAAGTGCTGAAATACAATCCATGAAGACCAGTTAGAAAAATACATTTTTGAGTTTGAAGCTTTATCAGACACCCAAACACAGCAAATCCGTTTGGTTACATGCTGACAACTGCAAAAAAACCAAAACACAAATACACTCTCCTTGCAACAAAATTATCTGCCACCCTCTGTGTTTGCTCTCAGTGTCAAAGCAGTGGTATAACTGCGGCAAATAAGGGTGCTGGCCTTTTCTAGCAGTACTAATGCCTCTTAGATCAAGACCTGTTTTCTTCTTGGACTCACTCTAGTTGCTTCAGCTCAATGTTGATGTGGCCCTCGAGCTCCTCCTCACTCTGCAGCTTTTGACATAGGTGCTTATGCCGGGCTCGCAGTCGAAACAAAGCCACGCTGACAATTTTAAACAGAAAGACAAAAAAAATTAGTCAAAATAAAAGTACCAAAGACCAGTTGGTTTATTTTAAACTCACCTGTTGTCTGTTACTTTCTGTTGTTCTATCTCTCTCTCCAAGTTATCCCTCTGCTCCAACAAACTTTGAATATTCTGTTGACAGAGTTTTAGCTTTTCTCTGGAGAAAAAAAAAACACAGGATAAAGAAGACAAGCTGCAGTGCTGACATAGAGAAACACCAAAAACGTGAACATTTTCAAGGCACTTAAAATAGGATGCGTTCAGAGCACTGGCTAATGGATTTCCTTGAGGCCACTGCAACAACAGGGAGGTAATTCTGTGTCCTAACAAGGTAATCAAATGAAGATATTAGAAAGCTGAGAGTGGACACACACTGTAACAGCTTTGAATTGCCCAATGTTCCTTTTGCAGTCTAATGGTGTGCAACACAACAATCTGCGGCTGTGGCAAAAGACCGTCATAAAAAGAAAATTGTGGCACGTGGTATGACAAGGCCTGCAGACAGGTTGAAAGATAGGTGCATTTAGGTTCCCATTAAACACACGTTTACTGTGGCTGAAGTATAACTCCACGCTGACCGCTGATGCTCTGTGCTAAAGGAAGATGACAGACATTTTCCATGGAAAACTGCACCACAGTTCATCAGGTGCTCAATGGCTCATGGTCCAGACAAATAAAAAGACGGAAGGAAAGTGGGGAGAAAGGACATTATAAGAAATGTTCTGTCCTCGGCTGAAATCATTTTCTACAAATTGCCGAATCAGTTGGAACAGATATGATTGGCCTTGTGTGAAAAGGGCAGGAGCAGAAAAAAATGGAATAAAACAGGGGAACATTTTTGAAAAGACTTGGCAAAAGCCTGTGTATTTTTTTTAAAAATTCTCATAAAAAAGCTTTTCTACTGGTACTGGTTTGTGTGGAGTCTAGAAAGGTTCACAAAATGTAGGTAAGGAGCTTCTGTAGCTCTAGAGGTCTGTCAGTGCCAGGTTCAGACCTGGCTTTCAGCACGTCATGCTCCTTCTGTCGGTGAAAGCAGTCCAGCTGGTCGAGGTTTCGTCTCAGCTTGAACATCCGTGCTGTCTCGGCATAACTCCTCTTCTTACAACCGTCAGCCATAGCCGCAAGGTCACCATCGTCAACACCATCATCCTCTCTTGGGGCAGATGCAGAATTACATTTAGAAAAGGCTCCTTATGTGATGCAAACTCTTAGATACACACACTATTATTCACAGACTGTCTTTCATGTATGGAAGTATATGATGTAACAGACTTTCAACAGATGCTGAAATAAAAAACAGAAATTGAACTTAATTGCTTTGTATAACAATATCTGACCGAAACAAGCACCGTGGTTTTGAATACAAGACACACTGCCATTTGGATTTAACTGCCCAATAGTTCTCAAAAAATAAAAATACAAAATAGCAAACACCCACTCAGACAATTCTTCTAACCAGTCCAAATCAGCAGGCACATCTGACTCTTCGGCTTTAAAGGTTTCATCACTTGGATCATCTGAAATAAATCAGCATATCTCAGTCTCAAGCTAAAAAAGGGCTGTTTTATATAGGTGTAGTTATGGATAAAGTAATGTATATCTGTGAGACTTAAAGGCTTTTTTCCCCCTGAAGCAGCAGGATCTGGTATTTACCTTTACTCTCCTGGACTCACCTGGACTGAGGTGGACATCCAGCTGTCCACACCTGTCAGGCTTCACCTCTGCGGGGCTTCTCCTGTCTTCTACCTCCATGTCACCTTACTTATGAAGGGCACAGGACTACATTACCGAGCAAGCCTTAATGATAACGGCATACAGAAATAGACATAGCAAATCTGTTAAATCCAGGTGAAGTCATTCAATGACGGAGAGCCAGTTCTTTCACGCAACAGGAAAATAAATTAATATTAAAAACTGGCCACTATTGCTGAAATTTAAATGTAGTTTTAAGCGGCTCTTTTTGGCGGTTTAGTAGGGTTAGGTTATATTTCCGTAGTGCCAGTGTGACATTTGTCCCAAGCACCATAAGATTCAATCAGAATAATCCTAAAAGAAAACTGATGTGTCTTTTATTCGAGTTGAGCTAGCTTGAAAAGCAAGAAAGTGGGGCCAGCTAAAGCAAATAATAATAATAATACAGTGTTTGCTCTGTGTCACTCTTACGATAAAAACAAAACATTAAAAAAAACGGTTACCTTTTGTAGCTCGTCTTTCCTCTTATAAAAACGGCTTCTCAACATCACTTTTTCTCAAAGCAGCCATGTTTGCTGGTGTTTCCAAGGAAACGTGACGCGAGGGGCGGAGTCGTACTGCCCGCTGAAACCTTCCAGGTGCGACAGAAATTAACCGTTGGTGGCAAAATAGTACCGACAGCATCAAAAATCGATTTACCTGTCGAAATGATCCAAAAGAAAAGTCTGTCGTTGTACGGTAATGACATGGCAAACTGTTACAGACATTATAAGACTTTAATTCAACACGAAATGTAAAAATGTAAAGGTTTTAATATCTAAAATGACTTTCTTTCTTTCTTACAACATTGCACATTGCCATTCACCGTCTTTTTTTCTCTGGCCTGACAACAGTCAAGAAGCCAGAGAGCACAAAACATCTCAGCTGATTTAGAGAGAATGATATGTCTGTGTTATGCAAAGTCTTTTGTCAAGCATGCACAACCCCACGGGAAACAGGCGTGCATTTTCTAGTAGATTGGTGGGTTATTGCACCATCACAAGGCTTCTTTTTCTTTTTGCCATTATTAAGCTTTCATCGAGCTCATCATAATTTTGAAGTGGAATTCACAAGAGGAAGGAGAAATGTGTGTTCTTACTGTATATCACACTGAAGTCATGTGACAGGCCTAGAGGACTAAGTTGTATTACCATAGGAGGCCTGGTAAATAAATAGTGTGAGGATGCGTGACTGTGATGAATGGGAGGGAGACTTTTTTTTGTTTTGTTTTTTGAGATAAAGGGAAGAAAAGTGACTTCAGTAGAAAAAGGAGCTCGGCCGATATTAAGGAGGGATCAGCTGGAGAAAAACAGAAAGATAAGAGAGAGAATACATGATGGTGAAAAAAGGAGCCTAACAGGAAAAAGGAGGAGTTTGTGGATGAGGAATCCAACAAATGCAGTCCTGTTAAATGCACTGTGGTGTGTACGACAACCTAACATTTTCCACATCAAAAGCCCTTACAGTCCAACTCCAAGAGAAGGGGTGGCCAGGAGGGTGGAGTGAATCTACAGCCCCTGGCCATGCTGACCTTTATGGTGCGGTTGACAATAAATATAAGCACCCACCTAATGGAGAGAGCTTGAAAAATAATTGAGTTACAAAACTTTGGAAAAGTGGACTCACAGAACAAAAACAACCACACTTCAGGAAAAATGTATCAACCAGATTCAGAAAGAGACTAATGACTAGTTCAACTTCATTAACTTGTATTTGATGTATATATTATCCTCTTAAACAGCATTGTTTCTGTTTTGTCTGCATGGTGAGGATTACTGCATCACATTCGAATCTGCTTTGCCTGACCATATTCACAGTTGCTGCTTTGCTTAATGAGACATAATGAGTGTTTTTCCAGGAATTTTTAGAAATCTGTTACTCCAAAGTAGGTATGACAGGAAAGTAGAGGAGGAGCAAGACATGAGGAGTGCCAGTGTAGGAATCCTCATCCCTCCCATCCCTGTATATGACTTTTCTGTCAACTTACTGTACTGATGTCTTATCTAATCTCTATTCAGTTCCTTTAGAGGCTAAATCTCGTGAAACTGTGGCCTTTGATCTCATACACCAGAAAATGTTTGATCCCTGAGAAACAGTCTGATCTGCATGTGCTTTAGAAAAGAATTATATAACAGTCTGGGGTGGAGGCGTGGATGTAAAAGTGTACATACTGTAGGTTTATTTCACAAAAACCTAGCAACACATGCAACCAGGTTTTGGAGGGCATATTCCAGATCCACTCTATAAGGCTTTTAACAGCTGGGTTTGCAACACAACAAACACAGTCTGTGATTACGTTTACACTGCGAAGGAGGACATTACAAGATTAAACTAAACAGTTGTTCTTTTATGCATTAGTACATGCATTTTGTTTTTGTCACTCCTATACATAAAATATGACTTTTATTTTTAAATTTCACAGTTAGAGAGGCAATACTCACCATAAATTCAATATGCTGAGCGAATTGATGGAAGGCCCCAAATTTTGGTGTTGGTCCGATACCAAGTAAGTACAGAGTCTATTGCCTATACCAATATATTTAAGCTATAAAGGCAGCTTGTGTAGAGGAGAGCATGGGTCATGATTTGTGAGCTCATTTTTTAAAACCGTTTTTGTTTTTGGAGACCTGGAATGTTAAAGTATCTGTCTCTAAAGCATGTTAGTTCAGCTTATGTGCTACAGGCTAAAATAGACATGACAGTCAACACAAAAAGTTTCAGACATTTTTCATAGTGCATGTTTGAGGTTCATTTCCAAGAAAAACATTAATTACATTTAAAAAAGAATAAATAATTTATTTAAGACAGTTGAGTGGGCTTCATGCTGAACTTAGAAAAGAAAAAACAAAAACAAAGTATCGGTCCTATCGCGCTAGTATCGACTCGGTAACAATACTAGCGACACTATTGTCCACCTCCATAGAAAGGACCTCTGCGCACACTTTGGGCAGCCCCCCTCCCAGTTTGATCTTATTCCAACAGAAAGAATCACAACTTTATGTGAGCCACTAATTACCTAATGGAGATGAGTCAAATGTGTCAAACATTACATAATATATTGAAGTCCTTTGCTTATGATGCCATTCCTGCCACCCCCCACCCACCCCCGCCTTCTGTGTCCAGATTCAATCTGACGTTTAGAGGCCAAGCGACGGAGGGATCGACAGATTAGCGAGTCTCCCTCCCTCTCTCCCACCCTCCCTCTCTTTCTCTCCCTCTGCCTCTCTCCATCCTTTTCTCTCTCACTCGCTTTCTGCGCTGTTGGTGGATGTCAGGCGGTGGATCGGCTCCTTGTTTCGGTCGGACCCGGAGTTTTGTCTTCATCTTTTTCATAAGCGCGCTCTTCTCTTGTGCGCTCCTGGACGCGGAGGAATCGGGGAGCTCACGACCATGGGGTCACCATCACCTTCACCTTCAGCACCACACTTTACTTTCTTCTCCGCGGCGCTGGATCGGGAGGAGAGCGCACTAAAATAATAATAACTAAAAAACAAACAAAAAAAGCTAACAAAAAATCCTCTTGTGGGCTTTGTCGTCGAATTACATTGCGGGGGAACTTTTCTCTTAGCATTACGCATATATTAATCTGACAGCGTGTGGAATGGAGATCCCAACTTTCCTGTTTTCGAGTCTTGCTCTGCTCTTCGTCGGAGGAGATATTTTCACCAGGTGAGATCAGCTGTGCTTTTGTTTTTGTTTTTTTAACTTCTTGCAGGTGTCTTATGTGCTTCCCACTGCGGAGCGCTATGAATATTCCGGAAGAAGTTAGCCGTCAAATTATAAACGGTGTTAATAATAATAAGAAAGCAACAAACTAGAACGATAAAACAAGGAAAGGCACTATGATATTCATCTATTTAGGAGCAATAAACTGCTCTTCTTATTAATTTAAATTCTCGCGTCAGTTGAAGTCCTGCTTGTTGTGCAACCGCCTCCCACGACTCAGCGCTAGCAAAACTCACGTTCACGTTCACTCGTGGATAAACGGACTTCTACAGGCTTACATAAAACTACTTATAGACACCCACAATCTGAAGTCTGCTTTCTTCCCCGCTTGCATGAACCTGATGACACCATTTGCATAATGCATATGCATAGTAAGAGGTGATTGTTTTCTATCCCCCCTCCCCTGGTGATGAATACCAGCTGAGTGGAAGCGTTTGCGTGCGCGCGCGTGTGTCAGATAATGTCACGAACCTCCAGGGGGTGACATTATCTGCCACGTAAGGGATCAAATACATCAGATGATCCCATGATGCAGGCCTCATACTGCAGTAAACACAGTACATTTAAATAGAATATCACTAAGGTGCTCAATTTGGGAGGTTAAATTAAAAAAAAGGTGTAGGTGCTGCTGGGAGCTTCAGTCGTGAATGCGTCTCTGAAGTAGGATTATTCCAGGTTGTGTATTATAAGGTAAAAAAAAATTCTTAAGAGTGATCCAGTCCTATTCAGCAGCGGTTCAGATTTCAGCCATTTGAAAAGATTTATCAGGACCATTGTGCTGACTCTGAGGATAAATTACCTTCTCACCAAGGAGCAGGTCAGGTCTGTCTAAACTAGTTTACAGTGCTCCGTTTTCGACAGAAGCCTGCATTCATCGGCATTCAGTTCGCAGGATAATCAGCATCTACTACAGAGCTTCAGTTTCAGTACTTGCTTTCACACTGAAAAGGGCAAAGGGTGAAACTCTGAGGAAAATTGGGGAAAATCACCTCTATTGTCCCTCTTGGCTGTTCACCAGTAGAGGGAGTAATAGCTATTGTAATTGGATTTTCCTGCCTCCAGTCACTGCTGTTATTATTATTTTGTTCTCAGTACAATGCAGAGTGTAGGCTTTTTCTTGCACCTCATTTTGTGTCATCTCTCTCTCTTTCTCTCTCTCTCTCTCACACACACACACACACACACACACACACACACACACTTTGCAGAGGAAACCTGCACGCCGCTTTCTTTCCTCGCTCCTGCTCTGCAGAGAATCACCCTGATTCTCTTTTTTTTAGCTCCTCGTTTATCCATTTCACAAAAGTTGCTTAGCTAAGTTGCGCCTCACCACCTTTGGTGTTGCATGAATTTCACAGTTTTTTCTTTACAGCTGAAGTGTCACTTACCCTTCACTTTACAGAGTACAATCTGCATCTAAATGGACTGTATAATGTCTGTAACAGAGGAGTGGGCTAGAAAACATGCTATTGCGTAGTAGAGAAAAGCATCATCCTTTGGTCATCAGTAGCCCGAGATAAAAATTGTCTTGAAATGGTAACTGTTAAATAGAGTGCCAGATATGTGTTAATCCATCCCTGAAAGTACTGCCCAGTAAATGCTTTTAAAAATCTATCATGCTTAATCTTTTCAGGGATGATCTTAGTCGTTTTAGAAAAGTAAAACTATAATGTACAACTTGTTTTTAAAGATTTAGGTCTTCGGGTATTTCACAAAAAGTGCCTGGTAGTATTTAAACCATTGCAAATAAGTTGTTGGCCTGTACTCTCTCACACATATCTCTCATTAATAATATCAAGTCACTTTAAGCCAGGGAGAACATTGCTGTCACAATGTAGAAGCTG